TGATTTAAACTGTATTGCTACCCTCTTCACCTAAATTCGTGGGATAATAAATCCAAGTACATTAATATTTGCCTGGAAGTTAGGAGAAGGTGATGCTAAGATATGATATCGCATACAAGCATATTAATATACGTGCAAGCATGTTAATATATGTGTGTTGAGATAAACTTTGTAAAACCTGGATTTCCATAGTTATTCCTTTGAGATAAGGGAGAGAAAAGAAGGAACTGTTCACACTTAAGCACTTCACAGAAGTATGCTTAGGGTTTATCAGAGTTTAATATATTAAATGTTTCAGTATTTCACAAAGCTCAACTTGAGAGAGAAGAGGTGCAAAGGGTTAAAAAGATGTTTCTGCTGAATGTCACTTGTTTGCAGCTGAAGTAATGTAATGCACATGCTAGTACAAACAGCAGATTACATGTTTCTTCTTTTTATTTCCAATAACCTTTTGTACCTGATGTGACACATGGCTTCTGCAGCCCAGCCCCTGCAGTGCACCCAAGCAGAGCTCCCCATCTGATTCTGTGGATTGCGATGGAGCTCGCTGCAGGTTTCCTGTCCAGACCTAACTAGCATGCTCTGGCTTAAAGCTTCAATTAAGCAGTGGCAAAATGACGTTTACTGAATGTTTATGGAGACCAAACAGTGAGGCTGCGTTGCAAAATAGTGTTTTCGTAGCTGAGAATTGGCTCTGTCAAATAGTGTTGCTGTGTTCCTATCTGTTGTAGTTTCTGTGGAAATAAAGAGGAGGTGTTACTTTCAGCATTACCTACGTGTAAAGAAGTTATTGCACATGCAGGTTTGCTCAGCATGCAGTCAGGATGTGACTGAAATGCACAGTGTGGTAAGGAAAGGTGCTCTTCCAGTCCCTGGACTGCTTACTCAGTTTCCTTGCGTGTTTCTCCATTGAAGTGTTTAAAATAAAGTAAAAACAAAGAGAAACCGTAAGTGGAACTTGAGGCTCAGTATTACTGATCACATGTTCTATACCAAAATTTGTATCCGAGACTTACTGAAGTTGTATAGTTCAACTGACTTCGAAATGTGTGATTTACTGAGTTAATAGTCTGCTGCTTTTTGCTATTAATTTAGGTGAAATAGTGGCTGCATTGTCCTTAAAAGTAGAGGAAGGAGTAGAGTCATAAATTCTGTAAAGGTTCAGGTACAAAATTAAACCAGTTACTGTTATTATTTGTAGAGGAAGGTGTAAGGAAGATTACTGACTACTTGTTTGCTGTGTGTGTATCATCACATGTACTTAAGTGTAAACACGTGGCATTCATGCTTTCCTCGTGTTCCACACTCAATCTTGAGGAACAGTTTTATCCCAAAATAATTTATTTAGTTGGTATGCATTTAATGAAGTGTGAGTATAAATGGGTGATTGTTGCTGCATCAGGCAAACCAGTACAAATATTTAAAATACTAACCAGAATGAAGCAGTAACCACTTTAATTATCCAAAGTAACGAGTGCTGCTTATTTATTTCATAAAGCCCATATTCAAATCAGAATTTTCCACTGCTATTAAGAACCTTTATTATGTTGCTGACCTCACTATATTAAAACCATACCAATTATGTGCAAACACCACGGTGTATCCATTTGATTTATGTTTCTACTTATTTCAACACTCTTGCTTGCCTACACAGAAATGTTTTGATTATTTTAAAATTCCTTCTTTTATGCAAAAAAACCCCTCAGATCTGAAGTGAACACTGTTTACTAGTGTCTTAGAAAGTATTATCAATACCCATGTTTTCTTTGAAATGTTTGCTTTTCTATTTTCAGTTAGATACAGTACGTAAATGGGCTTAGTAAAATGTGTTCCCTGCCAAAAACAGCAGCAAGTCTTTACTCATCGTACAATTGATTTTTAAAATTCAGTAATTAACCTTGATCTGCCTTTTACTTTTTGAAGTTTCTTTTGTCTTGTTTGTTCATTTCAGTATTGTAAAATGGTTTTGATGCTCTTCCCAGATCCTCTATGGAGGAATCCTAGCTTCTCGCACAAAACTGCTGGCACTCTGCTTTTATCTGCTGTCACTGTGCTAATAAAATGTTCCTCCACTGTCCTGAAGCTCCCAATGTGGATATAGTCAAGGACAAGTGGATGCACTGGGACAGCACACTGCTTCCCAGTTACTTTGCTCAGCTAGGTTTCTGTACAGCGAGCAGCAGAACCTGGTGAGAGAACCCTCGGGGTGTGTTAAGCCACATGGTTTGGCCTGCTAAAGTCACAGGTATGACATTACTGCATTACAGCTGGACGAAGGTTTCTGTCAGCCAACTGGGATGTGTCTGCATTTTCTCCTTTTACTTCCTGGACCCTGCCGTACTGATAACCTCTGCAGTGTAGTTGCTGTTAGCACATAGATGACTGGAAACACCAGTCAATCAGCTTTCCCTTTTCAGCTGCATAAAATAAACCCCCATGAGCACTGATTGACTTCAGAAGCTCCTGAAGATCTGAGATGTACGTTAAGATGCGCTGTGTCCCGTGTCGAAAGCTAAACGTGTGAAGCTACCCCAGTTCTGTTCAAGGTTAAAGATAAGGGATGAACGTACCCAGCATAGGTGAAAATACCATGGCAGACTTCCGTGCTTATCTCTAGCCTACAATAACCGTGTTGTAGTGCTATTAAAAAGATATTTAAATCTCATGCACAAATTCAGGGAGGTGTCCTTACCTGGAAGGCCGCTTATGCGCCTTTGGACTTTAGCACATTATTGAATCGAGTGTTTGTATTAGAACTGACTGTTCAAAGCTAAGACAGAGGCATTGTTTGCAGGATTTGTCTTCCTAATTTTAGGAAAACAAAACTGAGCTTGTTACACGCTTTGCAAGATTCAGAAATCTTGGTATTCTGTTCTAGTTTAGATCAGTTACAGGAAGACAATAAACAGCCACAGTTATTAGTGCTATGCATGCCTCAGTGGTTTAATGTGCCTCATTACCCTGAGCAGGGAGCAGTGATTCCAAGTGAAGCTAATGGCAAGATCCTTTGCAGTTCGTGCGTATATATAGTTCTCTTTAAAGAAGGCAGTCTCCAGAAGAAAGTGTTGGTGTATGGCAAAGAGTATAGCTTGTAATTAAAAATAAGAAGAGTAACTGCTAGAATATGGGGGTGTTTCCTTCCACCGTCTCTGGCACTCCTGATTTTCCTTTAACTCTTTTTTTTTTTTTTCTTTTTCTTGAGTAGGAAGGAATGTTGATTAGTTATTCTTCCAGAGCTCTTATATATTCCAAGAAATCTATTGTTAGTAATGGAAGCATTTATGATGATACGAAGTTATGTGGGGATGGAGGTGAGATAAATAATTATTAGACTTTCAGTGTGAGTACGTTTAAAGATTAGCACTGTTTCTATATAATTTTGGTTGCCAGTGCAGAAAGTTATATTTATGTATGTACTGGGGGATAACACAAGACTGTATTTAAGCCAATTTGAGCATTACCTTCTTAGATCTGCTGCACTCATAAATATACAGTATGACAATGACAGTATGGTAAACAGAAGAAATACTGCAGTAGAGTTGAAGATTTATTTAAAAGATTTGAATGCTGTCTCTGAATCTGGCTGATTTTTCTTTTCCTTTTTTTTTTTTTTCCCCTGGATTTTAGTCAATGTAACTTCAATGAAATTTCCTAGTAGGATTTCTTCAGCGCATCAAAGTTTTTGCCAGTTCCTCAAGGAGAGAGGAAACATTTATATTTATTTGTTTATTTTGTAGTTTTGCTGTGGGTCCTCCTAGAAGAATCATAGGATCACTTGAGTTGGAAGAGACCCTTTAAGGTCATTTAGTCCAACTGCCCCGCAATGAGCAGGGACACCTACAGCTCAGTCAAATTGCTCAGAGCCCCATCCAGCCTGACCTTGAAAATCTCCACAGATGGGGCTTCCACCTCCTGTCTGGGCAGTCTGTGCCAGTGCCTCACCACCCTTATCATAAAAACAAAAAAAATCATAGAAGATTTCTTGCTACTTTGTCTTTTTCACCCCACAGTCCCAACCAGTTGGAGATAGAAGCCTTCAGAGAGGAGGTCCTGCTATGCAAGGCTATTGCTGGGGACAGACGTAGCGCTTTGTGGTATATCTGAAGCTTCCTCCTCCTGGCCCTTCTTGCCCTGCCTGAGTTATATTCGTGGAAATGCTCCGTGGTTCTTTCCAACCAAGCTACTGGAAGACACTGTTTTATGTGGATACTGTTCTATGTGGATACTTAGAAGCCTAGAGCAATGCTTGCCGCGTGCATGCTAGAATTCATTTCAACTTAATGACCATTTAGTACTTAGAGTATTTTAGCTTGCCCGTATTTCTGATTTTATCTTCATGGTTTGCTAAACTTAATAATAAGTTTTGATTATGACAGTGTCTTCTTACACAGCAAAGTACAGAAAGTTCAGTGCTGCTTTCCAAACTTTTTTCCCCCCGAAATATAACTAATAGATAGTACTACTTATTTATAAATAGTCTACTGGCATGTTATTTCATGTTCCAATTTGTGTACAATTACATACTCATTAAGGGTGAGCAAATACTACATTCCTTTTGTCAAACCTAAGTTTCCCCACTGTCAAAATTGAGTAAGTAGGTCAAGACTCTTGCATTGGCTGAACTGAATGGAGACTTCAGTTCTGAAAGACGCAGATGTGGTTTCCCTCTTCTGGCCTGAAGAAATAGATAAGGGCATTTAGGGCTGACTTCTGTGGCTGTACTTGGTGATAACTGAGTATTGACATTTTATTTGCCAGAGATGTAGGATTTTTTGATCAGTCCAGCTCTGAGTAAGCAAATAAAAATACCGTGAATTGATGCTGGCTAAAATGTCATCCTGGCAGTGAACTGGTGGTTTTGAGTCACACTGACAGTAGATAGCCAAAATAATATTAACGAGAGAGACTGCAGTGTTTTTATTCACCTGCATTTTCCATACTGACTTTTCCTCTAATGTAGTTGTACTGAAGGAATTTTATTTCATGCTATTACCACTTAGGAAATGCCAATGGGATGACACTTTCTAGAGTTGAATTGTGAAGCACCATCATTGGAAGATGATTAATTCCCTCTGTCAAAAGCACTGAGTTACATCTTGGGATAACGTCTATTTATCTTAAGATTGTGAGCTTTTTCTCTGTTGCTTGCATCTTCCCAGAAGGAATATATAGAAGTTGGTCTGAAGGTTAAACCTCCACTGTTTTCTTGGCACTCGATGCTATCTAGCTTCTACAGAGGCAATAGCAATTTAAAGAAAGCTGCTCCTCAGTTACTGTATGTTTAATTTACACTCCTGAATTCGTCTTCAGATTTTCAGCTGAGTCTTCACCATGTTTACATGTATTAATACTCTGTTTGGAATCTGTTGCTCTAAAACACTATGATCAGTGTCTTTCGGTCACCTAAGTCATTTTCTAACTCCTGTTTCCACTTTATTCCTCTTCATTCTGAAGCAGAAAGCTAAAGGTTGGATTATGGCAGTGGAAACACAATTGCAAAAGAAAAGCATAGAAGAAGATAATGTATTTCTATATAGCATTTGATGAGATGTGTGCCAATAATTAGCTGTGCCAATAATTGAGCTGCTTGGGATTCTGGCTCTGTAGCCTGGTGCCTCGTGACACAGGCCAAAAAAAAAAAAAAAAAAAAAGCAGCAGTACAGAACAATTTTAATGAATCCCCTCCTTTGTTTTTCAAAGCTTTTTTTTTTTTTTTTTTTCCTACTAAAACTTTTAAAAAATCCATTATTTACCTCGTGTTCAAGGCCAGGTGGGATGGGGCCCTGGGCAGCCTGGTCTGGTATTAAATGCGGAGGTTGGTGGCCCTGTGTGTGGTAGGGTGGTTGGAGATTCATGATCCTTGAGGTCCATTCCAACTTTGGCCATTCTGTGATTCTGTGAAATTCGGTGCTTCCTCTAATGCATTCCATTAGCAAAAAAAGTAACTTTTAAAGTAGTTGACCTTGGAAATTTGTTTCTGGGAGGAGGGATGATCTCTTCATATTATGTTCCATTGATTTGATGAACAGTAAAATATTTGTTGGTTATTACTGTGATGTTTGATTTGTATGGTAGCTTCCCTGAGGAAACAACATAGTTTTGAACAGCAGTGTTCTGGAATCCTGCCTGTTCTCTTGATGTTATTATTCATGGAGTTGTCGTGAGATCCAGTTCTCCAGTATTTCCTACAAAGGAATGTTACATAATTACAGTCTTCATTGTGACAAGGAATCATCTGCATGCATCGCTTATTGGAAAATGTTGGGTTTACTGGGTAGCATCTTCCTTTGTAACTCAGAGTCTTTACTGACTTTTTCCTTATTAGTGACATTACTCTCTAATTTGTGGCTTCAGTTCCAAGCCTTTACCCAGCTGTGCTCCTTAGATTCTACTTCTGAATTCTCTTCCAGGCTTCTTCATTCTATGAGTACACTTTGAGCAGCATCTTTGTTTCTATACCCCTCATCATGTCTTCTTCTGGACTGTCTCCTGTTCTTAAGTTTTTGCTTTATACTATAATATTAACTGAGCTCTGCAAATACACTATGTTCTGTTTGCAGGAAATGACCTAGACATGTACCAACACCAGTTCCTGGAACTTCGTGAAAGACTATTGTATGCTGAAAAAGAAAATAAGAAAAGATCACGTGAGCTGAGCAGTGCCCTCAAGGAAATAAAACATATAGTTGCAAAAAGAATTAACTCGACGACCAATCATACAGGTTTGTATGTGTAAAAAAACTGTATTGTATGTTAAAAATCAGATATTTTGTGTGCTTGTGTATCTTTAAAACTGGCATGAGAAGAAAAATCATCGATCAGTGGTATCAGCAGAGAAAAGTAGCTAACAAAAAGAAAAGCTGTGGTGAAGCAACCTGTAGCCTATCTTTAAATAGCATCTAACAAGTAGGGCATTTAAACAAATAAGGAACTAAGTAACTAAACAAGGGAGGAAAAAAAAGGAAACTGACTGCAGTGACATAATGGGAAAGCACAAGTCAAACCTGTAATATTGTTGTCTAGCTTTTTACAGTGTATGAACTCTTGCTGCCAACTACAGAGCACTGAATAAGCTGTTTTTTTTCCAGCTTTTATTATGTAATTACACTCTGATAGTACTGGGACTGTGTCTAACCTGGAAAGCAGGTACACCTCCTCCCTCGTGTTCCACCATCCTTGGAAGTGAAGTCAGTTTTAGAAAAGAAAGGAAAACCTTTGAGGAGGCGATGCTGTACATTGATGTTTTCTTGCTTTTCTTTTTGAAGAGCAACACCAAAATGAAATTAAGTTGACTCTAGTTACCTGGCTTCTTCCCATTGTTTAATTAAACATATTAGATCATTGTCTTACAGGCTATTGTACATCACCATCTGCAGACCGGTAGTTACATACAACAATCAGACAAATCAGTTCTCTTCTCTAAAAGAAATGCTGTAGGATCTGCCTTCCTCCCTGTTCAGGGGTAGAAAAGCTACATCCCTAGGGAGAGAAGGAAAATCACAAAGGGAGTCTCTGTCCTGGAAGCATTCCACAGTACACTTTGGCTTGAAAAAGAGTCTGAGTGCTGCTGTAAACTATTTCTTTAAGATACTTGTTTGTATTCAGTACAACAGATGGGTATCTGATTAGAATAGAGAATTATCCAGGACTGGTACAGGAAAAAAGAACAAAATGCATTCCTGGTTTGTGGAGTCAGCTTGATTTTTGTTGTTGTTGCTTTTTTTTTTATCTTGTTATTCTCTGTCTCTTTTTGGTTGTTTTTTCAATATTAATGTAGAGGGACTGTTCAGATGCATCTAAGCAAATGCTTTACTGTGGGTAAGCCATCAGAATGTCAGGCTAGAAACTGCCTTGTCAGCCACTAACAGTACAGCATACTGCATACAAAAACCTACTGCCTGGTGCACACAGCAGCAGCAGAGGGAAATGCAAGTCCCTCTTCTGTCTGTTCTTTATTCTTGTTGAATACAGGCAAGTGTTAAAGTTGTCCATTCATAGTATTCAAAGCATCAATTTCTTAAAATTGCCATGTGTTCTTAATTTTTACTTTTTTGCTGATATTTTAGTTCATTTCTTTCTTTCATTGCATACAATCCAACTGAAGTCCCTTGTGCAGCCCTTGATAGATACTAATTCCTATTAGAAATGGAAAGTCCTATAAAGTTGCAAAGGTATTTAAATGGCAACAAAAAAAAGTTGATATGCCACAAAATTCCGGTATGTTTAATGCGAAGCAAGGTGAAGGACTTGCGGGTCTCTTTCTCGTACCCAAATACTTGGAGGTAGATATTTCTGTTTGTGTGGTTGTTTGTGGGGTGTTTTGTTGTTGTTGTTTGCTTATTTTGCTTTTGTTGTTGGATTTTGTTTTATTTAATTAAACAGTAAGACGGGGAATCCCTGCTGATTTCCTACCTTTACGTGGGACTGTCTTCTGAATATTGAAATACTTCAAAGATACTTTGGGAAGTCTTCACTGAGCAAAGATGAATGAGTAAAGCAGGTTATGGTGATTTGTAGGGCTTGCATTAAGTAATTTTGAACACCGGTAAATTTGAGACCTTACATTAGGTGGATTTCTTTCATAACTTTCTAAGTCAATAAGCTTTCTGTTGCCCTGCTGCAGACTCTGTAGGTTTTCAGTTCTTCTGCAGCTTGGAAGGGTGCTAATGTCATGTTGTTTACAAAAAGTAGTGAAGGTGTTGCTCTCGTACTGTGAAGCACATGAGCACCAGCCACTCTGCAAAACTGCTCCAGTATCTGGAGGAGGCAGCCTCTGAAAGTAAGACCTACCATCTATAAATTCATAGGAGGGGCTTTCTTTCACTTTTCTTTCAACAATGAAATGTAGTCTTTGTTTCAGTCCATTCAAATACCTCTTTTTTTTTTTTTTTTTTTTTTAATTGCATCATACATATCCTGTCAGCTCCTGTGGATATCTTACAGTCAGCGTAGTTTTCTTCTGTCAGCTTATAAGTACATCCGCAATGATTTTAGAATTCAGTTGTTCACTTTTTATTCAATTTATTTTAAAGACTGTTTACCACCACTGGATCACTCAGGAATGCACGTATGAAGGAATAGAAGCCAGGAAATGAATGGTATCTGTGGGAACGGTTGTGCTGTGCTGTTCTCCACTGGCGTTCCACAGGAGGAGCTCATGGTGACTGCAGTGCGTGAGTGCTGATGCATGCGACTGCACACTCATCTGTGGGATCTTGGCACGTCCATTTCTGAGATAGATCAGAGAAACTGGAAAAGTTCCACGAGTCTAAAACAGGACTCGACTACCAGGCAGGGCAATTATTAATCGTTGTGCGGTGTGTTACAAATAATCATTTTTGATAGATGATTCTGATGGAATAAACTCGTGTGTGGTACTCAGCTAAAACAACAGCTAGTTCAGATAGGTGAAATAATAGCTGCTAGTTTTATTTTTTATATTTACCTGTGGATTTATTGTTTCTTTAAGATGGTATGCAAGTATTAAATGACACCAGAAAACTCCCCGTGCATCTTACAAACCTGTACTACTACCTACCTCACCTCCGAGAATATGAAGATGCCATTTTTCCAAATGTTGTTATTGGACAACAGAGAACTGGAGGTAAGAAATAAAGTTCAGTTTGTGTTTTATACATACATTCTATTCATAGTTTGTACTAAATTCTAGCTATGACACATGCTCAAAGTTGGGAGGGATTTTTCTCTGAAGATTTTATAAACTTGCCAAACTGAATAAATGGAAATGGCGAAAGGACTTCTGTCACTCCCATCCTAATTTCAAGTCCTTACCCCAAAGTACTCTGGTAAGCTTTTTAAAATGTCAACAAAAGTAATCATAATTGATAAACAATATTCTTTCATGTTTAGTCACATTTATAGCTGAGAAGCATTGCTGGACATTTTTTTTCCCCGCATGTATGGGGCTGCTGTATCATGGCCTGAACCTCTGATTGATCACCTGAGGCAAGCACCGAGTCAGCCATGGGAGCACAGGTGAAGGCAATTCTCCTGTGCTGCAGGAAGGGGTGGAGCCTGGCTGCACCCCTCCTAGGCCCATTTAAGAACTGACTGTCAGTGGGGAAGGGTCTCTTCTGGAGAGCCACTCCATTGGAGTTGATTACGCAAGCTCAGGATAGGGTGAGTGTTTGTTTTTTTTTTCCTTACTCTGTTTTCATAATTACGTCAGACAAACTCCTGGATATACTACATCATCTGTGTTTTCATTGATTGTACAATTGGTGAGCCAGGCAGGCCAAATATATTCTTTATCATGGCTTTTTTGTGGAACATGTATAAATGGGTCAAGGGGGAGAACATCATTCCCCTAGATAAAATAATCCTTGGACAGATCCTAGGCTTTCCGGCATCTCGTTATTACCAGTTAGCAACCATAGTTGAGAAATGGGGTCCCCTGTGTACTTTAGGGAATATTTCCCCATTCCGCATGACAGAATACTTTAAAGGATTAGACAGAGATATCCTAACCACAAAAGAAAGGCAGTTAGCTGCATCCACAGTGGCATGGCCACTGTTAAATGTCTTAAATCAAGCTGAGATAAGATCAGACACCTTAGAAAATGAAAATCAGCTATTAAAAGCTTGTACCGAGAAATTGGAACAGGAACTTAATGTATTAACAGGGTAAAAAACAATTTCACAGTTCCTAGGTCAGCTCTGCAGTCTTTCAGTAGATAATAACCACACCTCTGAAGTAATGGGCTTGGTTGAACAGGAAAACAAAAGCTCTAAGTCAGATCTAGAGGTTCCACTTAGGGTGGATTCCTTGGATCTCTGTCCTATTATAATCCTAAAGATGAAAAAAGTGCAAGAGAGACCAGCAGGGATGCCGCCTGACCAATGGCCCCCTGCTGAAATGCATTTACATGCAACGGCTCGGCCATATGCACCGACAGAATTGGTGGATATGGTACAGCCATTTTGGCAGAGGCCAAGAGAGAGTGTACCTGCATGGTTGCTTAGGTTATGGGATTCAGGAGCAGAAAGCGTCCTGGTTAATGGACCAGAAATATGAAAGCTGGCCACCATAACGGTACACCCTGCTGTCAGGCAGAGACTATACGCTGCTGTCCAGTTTAGCAATGAGAATCATTCAATAATAGACTGGTTAATAGCAGCGTGCCGCATGGTTTGGCCAAACAAAAGATATTCTATTAAACACAGGATTATGGTCCTCCATGGAGGATCTTCAAAATTACATTCGTGAATTAGGCATGAGAGAAGCTATATACGAGGACTCATTTGATAGCCCGGATATGGGGAAGTTTTCAGCAGGCATGTGAGATTTAATATTACAGCAGGCCCCTTCTGACCTTTATGGGACCTTAGTCTCTGTATTAAACTGTCTGGTGGTCTCAGAAGCTGTGGTTCAGTAGGTTGCCCAGTTAGTAGCTGATCTGGGGGAGACAGAGCGTTTACGCACTCGGCGCAATATCCCAGTAGTGGAAGAAGCAGAAGTGCTTCCAGTAGTTAAAACCAAGAGGCCACCCATGCAGAGCTTTCAGTTGGGGCCTGTAAGGGTCTTTTGAAAACAAACGTTTAACAACCTTATTTGGGCTGGTGTCCAATTTGCGAAGATCGACTGCCAGCCCAATAACATCCTCCTTCAGCTGTGGAGATAGCTGAAGGATAATCAGAGATTCCAAAACTACCCTAAGAAACCGAGGGTGAGAGTTATAGGAACTGTGCCGACAACAACATGGAATTTAGAGGATTTCATTATTCCCAATAGAAAAAAGAGGTCCCCCCTTCAGGCTACAATGCCTGAGGCACCTGAAGCAGAAGACTTGACTTCGGCCCAGTTCATGGTGTGACGAGGGATATTAGTCCCCCTAGTGCCTCCAGACGGGACCAGAGGCCCTACGTAGAGTTAATGATATTCTGGTCCCGGAAAAATGCCCATAGAGTTATGGCACTTGTTGATACTGGAGCAGAAACATCAATTATTTACGGAGATTCGAACAAATTTCATGGAGACAGAGTGATGATTGGTGGTTTTGGGGGACAAGCTATTCCTGTCACCCAAACATGGTTAAAATTGGGAGTTGGGTGTCTCCCACCCCAGGAGTATAAGGTATCTATTGCCCCAGTCCAGGAATACATCTTGGGCATAGATATTCTATACGGTTTGGCTCTCCAGACAACCGTGGGAGAGTTCAGACTTCAACAAGCGCCGGATTACTAACGTCAGACAGTGTAGGCTCCCGGGTGGGCAGGATGAGATATCAGAAACAGTGCAGGAATTAGAAAAAGTGGGCATTGTAAGACCTACTCACAGCCCATATAATTCCCCCATACGGCCAGTGCAAAAGTCGGATGGCACGTGGAGAATGACGGTAGGTTACAGAGAATTAAATAAGGTCACGCCGCCTATTCATGCAGCCGTAGCCAATATTGCCTCCCTAATGTACACATTGAGAAGGGAGATAAAAGCCTACTATTGTGTTCTAGATTTAGCAAATGCATTCTTCAATATCCCAATTGCTGAAAAATCGCAAGATCAGTTTGCGTTTATGTGGGGAGGCAGGCAGTGGACCTTTCAGGTCCTGCCACAGGGGTAAGTGCATTCACCAACATATTGTTGTAATCTAGTGGCGCGTGACCTGGCTGATTGGAAAAAACCTGATAATGTTAACTTATATCATTATATTGATGATCTCCTGCTGACATCTGACTCACTGGAGGCAGTAGGACAAGGAGCGGAATCATTAATCGCCTATTTACAACAGAAGGGATGGGCTATAAACCCCCAAATGCTGCAAGGTCCGGGCCTATCTGTAAAATTCCTGGGGGTGGTTTGGTCAGGAAAGACCAAAGTGCTACCCAGTGCTGTCATAGATAAGGTTCAGGCGTTCCCAGTCCCTACAACATCAAAGCAGCTGCAAGAGTTTCTAGGTATTTTGGGTTATTGGCGTTCCTTTATACCCCACCTAGCGCAGCTGCTAAGGCCACTATATAGACTCACAAAAAAGGGGCACCTATTGGACTGGGGGAAAACAGAACTAGACACTTTCCAACAGGTGAAACTGGCAGTTAAACAAGCTCAGGCATTGGGTATATTCAATCCTACCCTCCCAGCCGAGTTGGACGTTCATGTTACTCAAGACGGCTTCGGTTGGGGCCTGTCGCAACGCCAGAGTTCTGTTCAGACCCCCATTGGTTTCTGGTCTCAGGTTTGGAACGGAGCAGAAGGAAGATACAGTATGATTGAAAAACAGTTACTGGCTGCATATTCAGCATTACAGGCAGTAGAGCCAATAACTCAAATGGCTGAAGTTATAGTCAAGACCACTGTACTGATTCAGGGGTGGGTGAAAGATCTGACCCACCTTCCTAAGACAGGGGTGGCTCAAGCACAAAGAGTGGCACGATGGGTCGCCTACCTCAGCCAAGGGAGCAGTCTGTCTTCATCACCCTTGAAAGAAGAACTCCAGAAGATCCTAGGCCCATTAACGTATCACAGTGATGCACCAAAAGAAATACTGGTCGCTCCACCAGAGAAGAGTCCCGTTCAGGAGGGAAAACATCCTATCCCTGAAGATGCCTGGTACACAGATGGGTCCAGCAAGGGCAACCCGAGCAAGTGGAGAGCAATAACGTACCATCCCTCTACTGAGACAATCTGATTTGATGAGGGGAGATGGTCAGAGCAGCCAATGGGCAGAACTGCGAGTCGTGTAGATGGTTATAACCAAGGAACCCGGTGATGGTATCCTGAACATCTGCACAGATAGTTGGGCTGTGTACCGGGGGCTCACTCTTTGGATTGCACAGAGGGCTACCCAGGAGTGGATTAATCATGCCCGGCCGATCTGGGGCAAAGACATGTGGTTAGACATATGGAATACAGTCAAACACAGGACTTACATGTCTACCATGTTTCTGGTCATCAGCCCCTACAGTCACCAGGAAACGATGAAGCCGACACGCTGGCCCGAGTTCGATGGATTGAGAATTCACCATCTGAGAACATCGCCCACTGGTTACATCAGAAGCTACAGCATGCTGGACAAAAGACAGTGTGGGCAGCTGCTAAAGCGTGGGGGCTGCCCATACGGCTACCTGACATTGTCCAGGCATGTCGGGACTGCGGCCCTTGCTCCAAGGTAAGACCAAGAGCGTTGCCCGAAACAACAGCCCATTTTGCTAGAGGACACAATCTTCTCCAGCAATAGCAGGTCGATTACATCGGGCCCCTTCCTTGCTCCGAGGGGGCGAGGTATGCCCTGACCTGCATTGTCACTGCAAGTGGGCTACTGCAGGCCTATCCAGTACCGAAAGCAAACCAGGCATATACCATCAAGGTACTTACTAAACTGATGTCTGCCTACGGGACACCTCAAGTCATCGAGAGTGACCAAGGGACTCATTTTATTGATGCAATGATACAGCGCTGGGCAGAAGAAAATAACATTGAATGGTGATTCCACCTGCCGTATAATCCAACGGGGGCAGGCCTCATCGAACATAACAACGCTATTCTTAAGGCTGCCCTGAGGACAGACTCCAAGTCCCTTCAGGGGTGGACAAAAAGACTGTATGAAACCCTGCGGGACCTGAATGAAAGACCCTGAGACGGCAGACCCAGTGCCCTCAGAATGCTGTAGACAACATGGAGACAGCAATTCAGTCTAACTGTTTCATCCATCTGAGCAATCCACTGATGACTGCACAAATTGTAATGAGTTGCAGTGAACTGTAATCCAAATTTCTAAGTTGCATCTTCTCCTACAGCTAAGCTGTAAGTAAAAAGGGTAGTGAAAGGCAGAAAGCAAGCAGTGAATTAATGAGCTATTTTACTATTATGTGTTTTTTATTTTGATTTTGACTTTTCTGTGGGGCTGATTTAATGCGAAGAAACATTGGCAGCACTTCCAATGTGATTCAGAAATGACTTGGCAGGGCCCATGACAATGGATAACTTTCTACAGTCTTCTCACTAGAAGGTGTAGTTGGAGCAGCGTGGTTTAGTACTGTAGTTCTCACTGGAGTGCTCACAGGTCTTTGTGAGTCTGCAGAAGGCCAGAAGTAGTCAGCTCTAAGCTGTGAAAAAACGTTCTACTTTGAATTTTTAGTTCTTTCTAAGTGAAAATCACAATAGCAAGACTGCAGTCAGGTCTTGCTGTTGTGTGCATGTTGACCTTCATAGTGTAAGAACAAACAAAAGCCTAGTGTTTAGCTACCTGTGTGCTGGGAAGGAACATGGAACATCTGTGTTTTTAAGTTGATGCTGGCCCTGATGATGAAGTCTGGAGCAGGTCACTAATAGAACCTATTCCTTTCTTTCAGAACCTTTAACTTCCATACCAACCTCCTGTGTTTGTGGTTTTGTGTTTGTTTTTTTTGTCTTTGTTTTTTTTTTTTTTTTAAAAGGAATATTCTGCAACGACTAAGAATTCCCTAGGTTTATTGAGCTGTATTAGGCCACTGAACTCACTAATGCCCTCACCAATAAAAAAAAGGAGAAGTCCTTCTTAAAGTCTAGTGTTATAACACTGTTCCACTACAAGGTCAGTCTTTCTCAGAGTCAATTTAAGTTCCTTTCTTCTTAATAATGATTATGCATACGTTTCTTTGTTCTTCTCGCTACATTAAAGCTATTAATTAGTAACAGTTAAACTACTCATGATTTTTTTAATGTGGATTTCTTTTTGAGATAGCCGCCTTCGTGACCTGTGAGAACTTTCTCACTGAAGCAGTGTAGTTTTAATTCTTGTTACTCAGATCTCAAACTCCATACCAAAAATTGGTATTTATTTTGCAGTACCCTCTTCTGAAACTCTGTAGCAGATAAATGTGTTTGCCAGAAATAGCATTGTATTACCAAATATGTATTATCTATGTAGCAGCAACTGGTGCTTATAACACAGGCATAGGTATCTCTAACCTAAGCATACGTGGATATATTTCTTCCTGGTAGCAAGGCAAATGCTGTCATACTCCTATAGCAGTACTGAATCTCACCACATAAACCAATCAATGAATGTTCACAGTAGTGATTATCTTCTAACATCATAGTTCCATTCAGATGACCCAAAGTTATCTAAGCCAGAATTAAAATGGAATTTACGGTCACTCGACATAAGATGTCTTGACTTTTCATTTCTGTCTTTGCAGTCTCACTGGTGATGGGTGTTCCTACTGTGAAAAGGGAAAAACAAAGTTACCTGATGAGCACGCTTCGTTCCCTATTGCATGGACTTTCTGAAAAGCAGAAGAATGACTGTGTGATCATCATCTTTGTAGCAGAGGTAAGTTTGTGTGAGAAGCTTCAGGGTGCTAATAGAAAGACAACATGGAAATTCTTGTGTTAGTATGAAAGTGTAGAAGGTGTTGCTAAGTAGCGCCTTCAGCTTTGTGAAGGATTTCGTCAGTGCTGGATGAGGCAGTCTTCATATAATACTCTAACTCAGATGTCTGAAGGGGGAAAAATGCTCATATTACATTTATAAACACAGCTGATGCAATCAAGTTTCATATAAAAATCATACAAACTTATTATTTTATCTGAAAATTGTAGGCTACTGAAAGTATGAAAAGCAAGTTCTTCACAGGACGATTCCACATGAAGATAGTACATTTATTCTGTGTAACAAAAAAACACAGCTTATTTATCTTCTGTTTTGACATCATATATATATATACCTTAGCACGTTGGAGACTTTTTTGTTAAAAAAAAAAAAGTTGTTTTAAATTGTTCAGAAACAAGAATATTCCATATCTGGAAAAGCGAACAGTTCTCAAGGTAAAGTACTAGTGGCAAGTGATTTGCTTTTTCATTTCAATTTGTCTTGAGCACAGAGGAAGGAAATACAGAAGAGATCTGTTGACGTTTGCCAGCAGGTGAAAGGCTGCAGTTACTCGAAAGTTATTCTTAATAGTTCTTTGTCCTTCCATAAAAGACATAACATTTCTCAAATGAACTGAATGTATTCATAATTAACATCTTCTCAGTGAATACATGTGGGTACTCATTAAGAGTTAAAGTTTATTTTTCAGTTGAGTAACAATTTACAATAGCTTTAACGACTGTAATACTGTCAACAGAAATTGCCCCGCAGTCTACACTTTAGATAAATCTTAACTGCCATTTAGATAAACCTTCTATTACAGTCCTTCAGAGAGTTATTTGGTTTTTTTTAAGAGTTAACTTCTGAAATTATACAGTTTGTCTCTGTGGACAGTTGTAAAAGTGCATTTTTTTTTAACAAACCGTAGCTTAGGTTTTACTAACAGTCCAGTTCAGCTTATTGAAGTTTAAACTGCTGCTGCAAGAGTCAGTCTCTCCCCTTTCTCTCATCCCCAAAGTCAGGTTCATGCAACTTTTGTTTTTCAGCCATGCAGTAAATCTCAATAGGTGAACTGTACTGATATGAGAGGTGATAAGAACATGTACTTATAGCAGAAGGACAGGTGTGTTCATTGATCATGAATGCAAACCTTCCTTATTCCCACAAAGCTTCCAAAGATCAAGGTGAATGTTTACACTCCTGGATTAACTCAGAGTAATTTACTGCCTGCAAGTGCTGGTGTGGTTTTTTTTTCTTATCACATTTTTTCCCCCGCTTACTACAGTTCTGTTGTATAGCTGGTAATGATCATTTCTGTATTGCAGAAAAAAAATTATCTTAACTGCTAAGACAGGAATTGTATGGCTTTGGGAACACATTCATTAAATTCGGCACTGCATAATGTACGTTGGTCACTCCAAAAGTAATGCCTCCTATTTATTTCCATGGAAACTTCAACAGATACAAAGAATTCAATACCACTATTTGATGGAGAAAACTCAGCTACAAAACCCTGACATGGAACCCACTATTAGCTATGCATTCTCATAAAATCTGCACCAGTGGAGGCAACCCGCTGTCGCCACTGCTGAAAACGCACCACCCACCGCCATCTACTGTTTGGTTTCCATAAACGTTCAGCAGGCACGGATGCATGTGCAGTTTTTTCCTTACGGGGGAGTTCAGTGGCATCCTTTTGGTTCAGACGTCCTTCTGTATCAGACACCGTTTTGTCAGAGCGCCTCTCTACTGCCATCTGTTGCACAGCAACAACATGTAATGTCTCTGCTGCTGTACCGCCAACATCTGTCTTTGATGCCATGGGTCAACATAATAAAATGGGAGGCACTACTTTTGGAGCAGCCTCATATTTAACAGATGTGTTTTCCATACCAGAACTGTTAGTTTCATGAAATAGGAGCACCAAACCAGCATATCCTCAAAGTTTTCACACTAAGAGCCATAAGTTTGTTATACTAAGAAGAAACTAAATAAACATGTGAAGCCTTGTTAGCTTTATAAAATCTTACTTAGGCAACTTTTCTCAACAGGCACAGGCCTTTTTTATGATATTTGGATGATTGATCCCAAATAATTCCTTTTAGTGACAGTTACACAGCTGTGCTTTTCTGGTGTGAGTGAAAGCTGTAGAGCAGTTTCTGTAGAAAATGGCTTGGCTGTCTGCAGAAGTAATGAACAAACAAAATGTCATACTGCCCTGTAGTGGAAATACAACTGTAACACATTGCTCTTGTTTCTAATGAAATACATTAGAGAATAGAAATGAAGTGCTTTCATGTAAATATTTCCTTCAAAATGTTGCTTAATGCTTAATGCGAAAATGAGTGAGTTGAAATGAAAGCCCTCCTCTTTTCTTTAGGTGAATGCAGAATATGTTAACGGTGTTGCAGAAACTATTAAAACCAGGTAAGTCCTGTGCAGTGCGACATTCAGCAGCTGGTAGACAAGTTGTGAGCTTTTATGGGAAGAATTAGAGCATTTCAGCAGTAAATTATAGTACTACCATACTGAAATGGAACTGCTAAGAAATGAGACAAAGGTGCAGTCTTAGTACGTGTATCATAAATTCGGAACACAGGGATATATACTAGTTTATTTTCCTTTTTATGTTCATAAATATGCTTTAAATAATCAAATGAGGTCTCAGCTCAAGTCTCTTGACAAATATTTACTTGAACGTAAGTCTTTTCTCTGTAAACATAATGATGCAATTGTAACCACTTGGGGCTACATGTACTCTGTCCCCCCTGACTTCATAGCCCTACAGTCCTGATGTTTATCATATTTTCTGGTGGTTTTGTTTCCTTGTTAGCCCCTATTTCATGAAGGCAGTGGATTTGGGGCAGCAATCAGGTTATAACATGATGTGAAGCACTAGTAAGTGATGGGTAACGTGAGATAGATTTTCTTAGCCATGCAAAATTAACATTAGCATTAACAAAAGAAGGCTTGGATCCTAGTGCAGTTTTGCTTTGCGTTCTTTCACATGGACATTTACAGCTGTGAAAAACCTTAGAGCAGCTTGAGAAAAACACTACTAGAAAGCAGTGCTGGCATAGAAGAACGCACTCATTGGTAGATTCATTTGGTCTGATGAAAGGGGCTTTCTAAGAAGCCAGGTAGCGTAGCTAACAGTCACAACACAGGTAAGGCTGAAAGCCCTGAACTGCAGTTATCTGAAAGAAAGCAAGAGATGATATGTGCTTTTTCAGTGACTTTTAAGATGAAGAACAGAGCTGAGACCTAAACCTCCATGCCAGACTTCCATAGAAGACAGTGTCATTTCGGTTGGGATGTAAAAGTAGATTGAGGAAGAGTAAGGAACATGGTAGTTCTTGCACAGTTGCTGTGATTCTAGGTAGTTAATTTTGTTGTTAATTACTGCTACATTTTTATATGATTTTCAATTCAATATTTTCTTTCATGTTTTTTGTTACTTGAAAGAGATACTGTACTGCCTGTTCTAATGGTTGTCAAGGATCTTGGTTCCTAATGCCCCTACCTGGCAATATGTGTGATTATGTTCTTTGCTAGACTTGTGAATTCCACTTCTGGAGATGCAGATGCAATTTTTGGGAGCCACTGTGTGTGGTTACAGTCAAAAATCTTTTTGAAAAATGGAGTCTCTCTAAACTTTTCTTCATAGCTTCCCCAGAGAGGTGCAGTCTGGAGTCCTAGAGATTATTTCTCCTCCTGCTTCATATTATCCAGATCTTTCCAACGTGAAGAAAACATTTGGGGATTCGGAGGACAGAGTAAGGTAAGACAGCTTCAGTAAAACCTAAGAACTCTTCTCTAGGAGTATGAAATGGAAAACTATTCAAGTCAGTGTTGTTTGAGGTGATATGGTTTTTGTATTTCAGAGCTAATGGACCTCAAGTGTACTCTTCCCCCCTCCTTAACCCCCTCAATTTATGTACTTATTTATTTATTTGAAACATTATAGAAGGAGTTCTTGTTAAGAGCTAATGCTGTACATGGGCTTCAGAGTGACAGCCGGGGCTTCACCTTTGTGTCCTGTCACTGGGCATCCCGTGGGTTTTAAAGCTGATAATTCCAAGAGATGATAGGCTAGATAATCAAGTGATAAAGGAAAAACAAACAAGGGAGAGGATGTGAGAATGCGCGAAGAAAAGCCCATGTGACTCCTTTAATAACTAGTAACAGTAAATGTGGGTTTAATTAATGACCTAACTTGCGACGATGGACGTTTCTTAGTACTGTTAATGATTTAACTTCGGGGGATTTCGTTCAAATTCACTGAAGCTGGGATTATAACCTAACAAAATTGATCCACTGGAGGAAAATAATTTTCTTTTGACCAACAATAACTGTAATTTATGCAAAAAAGCAGTAGGGTGCCTAAGAGCTGCATAAACAAGAGGTGTGCAATGCTTAGAGTTTAGAGTTGATTGAACTCAACCAGTGTAAGGGATTTATAGATAAACCTTCTGTTTTCCAGAGCATAAGCATTCTTATGTACTTAAGTTTCAGGTATGATTAGTTTTGAATCAGGTACACTGGGAGTGCACTTTGGTGTTAATTGTTTTATGTACTGATACTTGGCATTGAATACTGAGTACCAGCTTCCTCGGTGAAATGAGATGCTGTACTTCACAGAGAAAAATCTATGTTTGCATTTAAATCAGAAAATGAATTTATTTTTTTTTTCAGAATCAAAAAATTTTGCCTACCTGCTTCTCTATTCTTGATCAGTAAAAGCGCTCAGTTTTATAATGTTGTGAATGATCTTGAAATAATAACTGTGTATTGACCTCTACTGTTCATAATGCAGTGAGTAGGCTCCTTAAGTCATTTGAAATGAACCTACTGGTTAAACATCTAGAACGTTTATTTTCAGGATGACTTGATACAGATTTAAATGTTTTGCTTAGTTAACATCAACTTTTATGGGGAATTCAAATTATTTGCTGATCTACACCAATTGAAAGGAAATTTTTAGATCAAAAATACTACTTGATTTCTTCTTGTTCACTTATCAATGAGTTAGAATCAACCTTATGATTTTATTGCTCTAATGCTTTTACTATACAAGTAACTTTTGGAAATTACCCAAGAGGATTTTCAGAATGTACTGCTTGTATTTAGGTGGAGAACGAAACAGAATTTGGATTATAGCTTTTTAATGCTGTATGCTCAACCTAAGGGAACATTTTATTTACAGGTATGTTCACATGATCATTAAGCAGCTACAATACATCTCTATTGATTATTAACTTTTGACTTCTTGTTTCCTAAGTCTTCAATAAAAAATGTTGTTTCCTGTGTGTTTTTTGTGTTCTTTAGAAACATCTATATATTTCTGTGTTTGCATACATATCTTGCAGCTACGTATTTCATTGTTTCATTAAATCCCTTTGTACCTCCATGACATGTGATGATAAGGTAACTGAAGCATTAGGTAAAGAGAGTCAGAGTTTAGAGTATTTTCATTTGGTGCAGAGTAATGGTAATAAGTCCAGGTTATAGCCCAAATCATGAAGAACCAAAAGACCTTATGTGACTTTTCCAGATAAGGAAATATTGCAGCGTAGAGACACCAGTGACAAGGTTATGCAGCAGGTTTGTATGAATCCTTAATTCACCAGATGATTTAGTGTTAGATGGTAAGATCCCCATGCATTCATACGTTCCCCATGCATGCACTTAGGTTTAGCCATCATCCTGGATCTGCGTTCCACAGTGACAGAGCTGTAGAACACTGTTGTGACTTAGGCAGCTTTTGTAGAACCATGAGATTAAAAAAAAGAACATAGAAACAACAGGAATAGTGGCAGTTCTGAGAAGCGAGTTTTCAACCCAGAAAGTTCAGATGAAGACATACTTGGTTTGATTGTAGTGAAATTATGCTGATGTTTTCTTAATAAGAACATTTTGAAGTAATGGTTTTCACTGTATTTCCTGGAATTTACCAGGGCCAGTTGAGACACTTTAATAATAGCAGAGCCAAGTTGATGGGATTTTAGCATAGCTAAAAATCAGGCATCCAAATCCAGGGCTAGTTGTGAGGAGACGTGTTTGTTCTTTGTGTTCCTGTAGGCTGAGTTCATTCTGAAACATCTTACATATGAAAGCATTTTTGCAGCAATTGTAGGGAAGTGTTTTCTATCAACATTTGTGTGAGCAAACATAAAACATTAGAACAATTAGAATCCCTAGTTAAAATCTGTTATATGCTTCAGACTCAGTTAATTGAATTATTACTAAGGTGTCTGTTTGTTTGTTTGTTTTTGCTTCATAAGGTTTTCCTCAGGGAGACTGGGGAGCTGCATTGTGTCTTTACATACAGCATACAGAGATATGTAGGCTGTAAGTCAAGCCTCCTATCTGGCAGAGCTTTAAGTTGAGTAACTTTCATAGAAGTGTATTTTTAGCTGACGTTTTCTTCATACTAAAAACCCAGGATTTTAATAAATCAACTATTTCTGTAGAAAATGAGAGAGTGAGATTTTTCAGCGTAGCAATCTTCAGATTTGCAGAACAGTGATTCAAACAGAAAAATACAATAGTATAATTTAGAAAGGAAGATGCATTCCTGTCAGATGCCTGCACTGCCCTTATACGCTACAGCTCTTGTTGCTTCTTGATTCTACCTTCTCTTAGGCAGCTCTTGGATGGCAACTGGGCAAAATGAGCTAGACAGTTTTTATCTCCAACTTCCTGATCAAGCTCTGTATTGCCACTTCATAGCTTCCTTTTGCAGATAAGAGCATGTGAAGAACAAGTGGCTGTAAGCTGAAACCAGACAAGTCTGAAGTAGAATGTAGATGCAGTGTATTAAAGGTAATTGCGTAGAATGTGACTTACTGTAAAGAATAATGGATACTGAAATCCCTACGCAATGGCAAACGCTCTTCAAGAAGATATGCTTAGAGGAACACAAATTATGGGCTCAGTTAAATTACAGTTAATTTACTTTTTTTAGCATGTGCTACATAGGAGATCACATTATATTGTCTAATGATCCCTGTCAACTGTCAGCTCTGGAAGAGGCCGTTTCAGACCTCTCCCTTGTCAAAGCTACATTCACAACCACTTTGCATTCCAGCCTCTGTATTTTTATTCTGTATGTTTTCTTCTGGTGTTTCTCAGTAAGGAGGTATTTGTGAGATATGAAGGTATTTTTGAGATACTTTTCTCTGCCTTGTACTTTTTTGTGTTCACTCAATTTGTCTTTGAGGATTCTCTGAAACTCTCTTTGATTCCCTGCTCTCCTCCCTTTACATTTAGTGTTAGTGGTGGTTTGGGTTTGGTTGGTTTGGGGTTTTTTTGTGTTGTTGTTTTCTCTTCCGTATTACTGTCTCCTTAACTCCACCTCAGATCTTGTTATTAACAGTTAACTTTGACCTCAATTCTTCTGCATTTTTGTAACTTACCATCAGCATAAGCTGGCAGGATCAAAGCAGATCTCTTCATCTTGTCTTTCAATTTTGTTCTACTTCCTCCTTGTTTCACTGTTGGTGACCCATTTCTCCCTCCCCAGCCTTACACTTGTATACTTCTAATGACCAAATTCAGCTTAAAGCTGTGGACCTGCTCCCTTAGACTTCTGTTGCTGCATTTGTTGAATGTGCAAAACCAGCAGGAAACCGTTTATTCCCCATAGCATTCATTTTCTACCCACTTAGCTCCGTTAACCAGATTCGAATGCTATCAGACGAACACCAGAAGCAATAAAGTACAGCAGTTAGATCAAATGAATTGTATGGATATGCTGCACTCCAACAGTATTTTTCCTGAAGGCTTCGACTCCTCTTCCTGTGTTTTTCTCATTCATACCACATTCAACTCCTGATTTACTTTCTCCTAAATTTTTTTTTTACGTTCCTTTATTTTATTTGCCTCTAAACTCTTTGTTCAGAGTCATTATCTGCAGATTTAGTAACCGGCACAGCTTCTATTTTTCAGATCTCCCATTCTTCTCTGAAAACAGTGCAAAAACTGCCGAGTCTTTTCCCATTTCCTTGATGGGTACCATTTTCCTTTTTTGACTGTCCTTTAGTTGGCTTTGCTGCTGTGTTCAGTTTCAGCCCTCACAATGTGTTGAAAGTTCTCTGCATTTCTGCTGTTTTACTGCAGGTTCCTTCTTCCATGACGAAGAATGTACTCCCTGAAATGTGTTGCACTAGCATGTCATTCAGCATCCCCACTTCTCCCGCACCTTTTAGGTATAACAGAGTCTTCCTGGGCTTCCTGTCAAGCTGCAGGCCATCTGCTTTAAAAGCTTTTCTTCCCAAACAGTTTACTTACGCTGCTTGTACAACTTTGATACAAGCTCTCTGTTGCTTTCCTTAACCTCTATCTTTTTGCATTACGGTTGTTTGGGGTTTTTTTTTTCGTAAGTGAAAGAGAAGCAATCATGGGAAGCAAGTATTTAATGAATGATACCAAAATAGTGATATGTAGAAGCAAAACAGCAATCCACTGCAGTATGGCACAGCTTCGCTACAGCCTGTGCAGCAGCCAGACATTGTGTGATTATCACTCACAAGGGGCAACTCCACCACCTCCTCTGCAAGCAATAAAACCATCAATTGGCTTTGTTCTTTTTGTTTCTTCCCAGCTGGAGGATGATATTGTAGCCAAACCTGATTACATTCAAAGCATAGAAAACTTTGCTGCTGAACAGTCCCAAGAGTGGGTGGTTCTTGAGTTCTCCCAACTTGGATTTATTGGTAAGTATTAAGGCCTCAGCAGTTGTCAGTTTGTTCAAGCAGATCTCATTCAGAATTACGTTTCTTATATGGCAGGACTTTTATATCAGAACTTAACTGTCTCTTCAGGAAAGCTTCCACTGGAAGCCTTTTACTTTCTGTGCTCATTGCCTCTGTCTTTCTAATGCAGCACAGAGTCTAGTTGTTGGGTTCCTGTAAGAAGCAGTTTGTTCTGTATCAGGGCACTGTGTGCTCCTGCAGCCTTCTTTTCACAAACGGAATTTGCACAGTCAGTGAAACATCTGTTTTCTTTCCTTTGTGGAGCAGAACATGCAGCCCATATTGTGGTAAAGTTTTTTTTCTTTTTTGTTTTTCTGTTTTTGTAATAGTAAGTTCCCTTTTACATTTTATTTTCTTAGGTTACAACATGATTTACTTGTGATAACACCTGTAAGGGTTAGGTCAAACAAGGAAATCTAACAAAATCTGCTAATAAAAGCAGCAAGGATACTAAATGAATATTGATAGAGTTTTAAAGGCTTTTATTTAGGTCTTAACCTAAATATAGTCAGTAGATAATTGCCATTGAAATCATATGCCTAACGATTTGAGAGGATGCTCAGACTTTTTCATCTGAAACACGGATAGAAACGACTGGCAGATTTATGTTGGAACCAGGATATAACTGCATGCTTGTCTGCTCACCTGGTTGACTGTGTGAGAATGTCTTCATGCATGGGATGGAGTTAAGTTCCAAAGCAGAAGCCTATGTAAAACTCCCATTAAACATCAGGATTGCGTCTGTGTGTTTAAGGCCATGGGTACTCCAGAACATGAAGCTGCTGAATGCTTACTGTGCAGCAATAAAAATACTGAAATATCCAACTTGTCTTGCTTTCAGGAAAATTGTTTAAATCAGAAGACTTGCCGTTTGTAGTCGAATTTTTTCTGATGTTCTATAAAGATAAGCCCATAGACTGGCTTCTGGACCACCTGCTCTGGGTCAAAGTGTGCAATCCAGAAAAGGATGCAGTAAGTATGTCTGTGCATTTATGAACAGAAGTGATACTCAGTCTCTGTCACGACACTATTTAGCTTCCAGAAGCAGCATGAAAACCTCTCAGTACAAGAGCTGATACAGGTCTGCATAGTATGGCACTGTGCTGGAGCCCACTAGGGCGGAGGAAGAGGATGACTTATAGAAATTTAGATTTTCATATCAGAGTTGTTTGACATCTGTCAGGTCAGAATGCGGCCAGTGCAAACTCCTATCTGCTGCAGCGGCTCACTTAGCCCTGCAACATCAAAGGCGATTTTGAATACGTGACATTGAATACATGACTGTCGTTTCTCATAACTTTCCAATGACATTACTTCTGATTTTTTCACAAGTCAGCACAGCATACAATCTTAAAAATGCAGTTCTGAATTTTCCTTAAAATTTCCTTTCTCTCCAGCAGCAGAGCATAAGTGTTTTACTTGAAATTTTTAATTGCCTGGGAAAAAACTTGATTCTTTGCCTGAAAACGAGACAAAACAGAGGGAAATGTGTAGACTGGAAGGATGAAATTACACTGTTCTCTGAAAATGAAAGAAACAGTTGTGTTGGTTGAATTGCTAAGGATAGCACTTATAGCATGACAGGTGAATTTGATGATATGTTAAGTGTTATGTCCTTCTGCATTCTTTGACTGGCCTTTGGTGCTGGTCGCTACTCACACTTCTCCTGTACAACAATACTATGCCACGTAGAAATGACTGGAAATTCTCCCATTATATTTTTAAGGTTCAAGATTGGTTTGATTAGTGTAGTCAGTCCCCACATGACGTCTTTGCACACATGTTATTTTTGTATTGATAAGGAAGAAGAGTCAGATGGGAGTTGTGCAGAACAGGAGCCTAAGGAGAGCTGAACAACAGGCTTTCAGTTTTACTGTATAGCAGAGGTAACTTGGGGACAGCAGAAGGTACCTGATTTTACACTTGAGCAATGCCACTGAGGAGTCTCTATTCCCAGTTTGTGCAGATAGGATTAAGCTTTGAAATCCTACTCTAGAGTCGGTCTAGATCCTTAAGTACCTCTAATTTAGGCTCTTGCTTAAACTCTGATAAGAGTGCAAAAAGACATTGTTATGTTAATACCACCCATTCCAGTTGTGTTTCACGTATACCGACCTCAACTCCTACTAATTAAACATTTTGCTTTCATTTCTGAAATGACTCTTCTCCCTTATACTGTGTATAAATCATATGTGAAACAATGCGATGTTCCTGAAAGGCAGGCAGTGTGAGCCTGTCCTGGCCAAACCAAAGCAGAGAAGCTGTCAGAATTTGTAGTGAACTTTGTTATGGCGATTTCAATTTCAGTTGCTGTGCATGGCAAAAAAATGAAAATAAAAATGTTGAATCAAGCTAGTCTTGTGCTGCCCCTGCAAAGGAATGACCAGTGACGAAACGAAGCTAGAAACGAGCTAGGACTGTTCATGTGCATACAGAAAATGGAGGCTGGGAGAATGAGAGGGATCCCAGCTGCTGTTCCTCCTGTATAAATACAATTGATCTGAAAGTGATTTGAAAGCTGGAGTTTCCTACAGATGAAGAAAAGGCAAGATGACAGAAATCCTCACACTTTCCCACTCTGGAGCAGCTGAGAGTGGTTGCTACTTGATCACACTGTTCCTTGTGGGAGGGTCAGCATGTACTGTGTTCTTACACTGTCTTGCTGAACGTCTGCTGTGGGCACACATAAAATACTTGGTTCTGTTAAAAGCCTTCCAGGTGTTGTTTTTTGGTTTTTTTTTTTTTAATTTTTACTTTTAATTAGTACTTTTTTAAGAACCAGAAATCCCCTGTGTGTTTTATTGTTTAAGCCAATTGAGTGAGGATTGTAATGTCTAGCATTGATGTAATTTATGCCACGTGTTTTCTTTTATAGAATTGAAAGCACGTTATTGAAGAGGTGAACACGTTATCCTCTCACATCTAAATATGTAAAGACTATGATATAGAGGGGTTAAATGATCTTCTGAACTCATACAATTATTTTGAGGCAGAACTGAGAGTCTTGGGGTCACTAATTCCAACTCTTTGCACTGTTCCTTCTTATCATGCTTTATTAATTATTGTAAGATGTATGTTTCATTGTATCTAACCGTGATGCTTTGTGAATAGAGTGCAACCATTTCATTTAAAGAAATGATGAGCTGTCAGTCGAAAAGCAGGAAACCCAGAAACTGGTACCAGTTATGGTTATTTCATTCCCTGGTATATGTCATGTCACAAAGTGTGTCTACACTGGAAAACAAGGATACAAATACAGTATCTAGGGGGCTTTAAGTAGTTCTAGGATAAACAATAGATATGTGACATAGACTTTAGTACAGTGTATTATAATATTCTCATACATAGCAGAAAGCCAAACAGAAATGTAAGCGGAGTCTATCTCAAGAGGATTGGTTTTGGTCAAAGCAGAATCATATGGCAAGGCCAGGAGTTGAAAGAAAATTTGCCAGAAGCAGTTACAAAAATCCACCAGTTTCTATCTGAGGTGTATTTTACAATTGAGGTGTGATTGGTGATACACAGGGCACAAATCCCTGAATTAATGGTGGTTGAGCCTGCAAATCTACATTGCTCCACAAGTGGAATTACGATGAGCTTATGTCTGGAAAGCGTATTTGAGATAAAATGTCTGGTAATCTAAGGATTACTCATGTATATGTAGGTAAAAAAAGACCTGAACCCATACACTGAACTACGTAATGAAATTGCCCTATGGAAGTTAGCTTGCATCTCCTTCATTTAAATAAAATGCCACCCTCTTTTATTTTTTTTTCCAGGCACACTGTGAAAAGGAAAAGGCAAAGTTACGTATCCGTGCTAAGCCATCTCTCTTCCAGCATATGGGATTTCATTCATCGCTGTCTGGGAAGATACAAAATTTGAAAGTAAGCGTAAGAAATGATTGCCATAGTTCCAAGTTATATGCTTATGTTTTGGTTTGTTTCTCAGTTTGGTATCGAGCATTGCACCATCAGCATTAGGTGGCACCTCCATATCCTAGAAACGCTAGCTTACAGTTCTGGGGGAGAATATTGTTCTGGCATGTGAATTGCAGATGGGGCATACTGCTTCTGCACAAACAGTCTTCGTCTCTGGTCTAAATACCTGCATCAGTCAGAGCAGCCTGATGTGCAGAAACGCTGTTTGCAGCACAAGTTTTCATGTGCTGTACAAACATAAATGGTTATGGTGGTCTGTTTTGGCTTAATAGTCAACATTACCAATACAAAGGATTATTGATAAGAGAAGTATACTGGTAGGATAAAGGCATGATTCTACTGATTGCAGTAGATTTGTATGGAGAGTTTGGAGCACAAACAAGTATATCTGCCAGGTATTTGATAAGGATGAGCAGCGAAGCACCAGCTTGTGGGTGCCATTCTGTTGGTGCCGTTTAGACTGCTCACAAGATCAGTGTTAGATCAGACTAAATGTTTAGGTAGCCTCTGTTATTGAATGTTCTGGTAGAAGGCATAGAAGATAACCACAAAGTAGCCTACGCTGGAGAAGTTTCTTTTACAAAATAACATTGAATCACAGTGATAACATTGAAATGAATGTTCTTTTTCTATCACAAAAAAAGATCGCATATTTTTAAACTAAGTGTTTTCTGGAATAGCTACCCGTGGTAATTCAAGAAGTTAGAGCACTGTTTTCATCATACTTTTAGGGGTGAAATTACATTTCTTATATCCAACAGGATAAAGACTTTGGCAGAAGTGTGCTACATAAAGCACATGATAATCCGCCTGCAAAACTGGCTACAAGTCTAAGAATATACCAGCAATATACCTTGGAAGATGTTTATGAAGGAAAAGGCTATTTTTGGGCTTCATCTCCAATGGCTGGGGACTATATCAGCTTCACCTTTTTGAAGCCACTAAAAGTAGAAAAGTGAGTATTACATGGTATGGATTATGACAGACTGCATATATACAGTTTGGGTACTGAGTCCGTTCAAAATCACCAGAGTTCAACTGTTTGCATAAAGCATAGCCTGATCACTGAGGATTTAAAACTTGAGGATATGAAATCCAGGATTTGTTTCGTTGGCTGTACTGAATACATCTGTACTGCCCATAAAAACACTTTGGCCACAGCCAGACATGTAACTGAAGATGTCTCTATGAATAACCAAGTTTCACCTTAAATGTTTTTTTCTCATTCAGAGAGATCCTCCCACCCCAATATGCAGATCCTTGTTTTAGGCTTTGGAGGTGCTTTTGCTCCTTAACAAGTGTTGTGGATTATTTAGAGCACCTGAACTGATCCGTGTCGATGAAGAGGGGGTTCTCTTGGTATTTAGCATATGCAGTTCTGAGATGTTTCATGTCTCTGTATTCCAGAAGCCCCAACTTACCTAGGCCTTAGGATGATAGGAACGAATTCAAGGACAGAACTTCCTTAGCTATTTAAATGTGGAAAAATGAATCCATTCAGACTTTGAGCACTGAAAATAGGGAATGCTTGTATTCCCTCTTTCCCAGAGAAAAATGGTTTTAATGTTTGTTTTGTTTAAAATGAAAATATCCTAGTATAGTTTGGTGACACATGAGAAAGTTTCAATGCCTATTTCTGTTCTCTCTAGCCTACAACTAATTGAAGTGAAGGTATTTTAGAGGTTCCTTCAGAGAAGGAAAATATTACTTCTCTAGAACTTTTCTAATGTTTAAAGTTACTCCAAATAATACGCCTTTTTTTTTTTTTAATCAGATACCTTTTTAGAAGTGGAAATATGGATTACCCTGGTGATATACTATATGACACTACTGTGGAAGTGTTGCCAGCTGATGTAAGTCTCTTACTTCCAACTGCAATATATAAGACATGATTTCATTTTATGGATGATATTTGGCCTGTAGGATCGTGTTCTAGAAAGTGCTGCTGAGGTTTTATTCTTCTGTTTCTTACAGGAAGCTGTAAGGAAAGTACTGGTTGGCAACAGAAGTAAATTTAACTACACTGCAACCAAAGATGGATATTTAAAGATAGGTAAATAGTTCATTGTTGCTTTAAAAACAGGCATTTTTTCTTCCATATAAAATGGTTTGCACTTGAGAATTTCATTAGCTCTGTAAGGAATGCAACTTTCCAGTGTAGAAACTCGTAAGGGATAGGAAGCCTTTGTGCTATTGTGTGTTGTAGTATGAGATGTTGCACCTATTTTGTTTTGATTAATGAAGGGCTGTAGCTGCAGTGCCAAAAGGCAAGGCATCTAATCACAGAACGACTGATGTGGGAAGGGCTCTATAGCAATCATCAACAATGAGCACAACGCAGCCTCTGCAAGGTTTTTAATAGGATAAGTGTTTCTGGTTTGGAAAGCCTTAGCTAAAGAAAAAGGAGTTCATATTGATTATGATGAAGCATAACACATTGCATTTTGGCACACAAAGTTCCCCTTCAGAGCAGTGCTTGACTGAACTGCAGATTCACCAGGTATCTGCCAAGGCTTGTTGCCTACTGTTACCTGAACTAAAATGCCATTATGTGAATAAAAATGGTCCACTGGGAGACATGCTTTCCTTCCACTTTTCTTCTGTCTGTTCTGTCGCATAATTGCTGTTTTTTCCTAATGAACCATTTTCAGTTCATCGTCGCTTCTTGTTTGCTTTAATCTGTATCTTACCCTCACCTCCCCTTGGTTGTTTCAATCTAATGAAAGATCCAAAACCAAATGCTGTCAATTCACAGTTCTACGTGCAGTTCACAGGATGTGAATATCACACACGGAACGAGTGTTTTTCATTGGTCTGTTTCATTTGCCAGTTTGACAAGGTTAGTTAAAAAGTGTAGAGCTGATGAAGGAGTGTATCAGAATTGATACGTGATTCCTTGTATCTCTTTCTAGAACAACTCCTCAGGAAAGCTCTTTCTTGTTATTTATAAGCATTGCCTTTCAGTGGCTATCGTTTGACCTTTTCCAAACATTTTCCCCTCACGTTCTAGAGTCATTTCTTAATGTAGAACTTTCACATAAGTTCACTTAAAAGTGCATTTTAGTCTAACAGGGACTTGTAATTATGCTTTATTTTTCATTTAGGGGCTTTTGAAAATGGAGTTGCAGAAGGCAATATCGATCCATCAGTAGGAGAAATACTGGCTATTCGTTTATTAGTCCATTCTGATTCCCCTGTATGGGCAATACTGAGTGAGGTATGTCTGTTAATAAAAGCTTTAGTAGATTGATTTCAATTTCTCTTACGGCATAGAGTTGATAGTCACTAGTTTTTATCTAATTTGGAGTTGGATTCTCTGTGAAAAAAGTGGAGAACCATATTAATTATTAAGTGGATGAGAATTTATTTCATAGAGAAAGTGCTGAAATGGAATAATTGACCATTATTTGCACTGCTGTAATACAGCCACTAGAATTTGGGTGATGACAAACCAGAGGACACGGGGAGGATTCCACCATTTTGGATATTAATAATTACTGTATGCAAATATTTTCAGGTGACCACGTGGTTTGTTTGTTGTTGTTTTTCCTGCAAGTTTCAACCAAATATCTGAATGTGTCTGAACCTATCAGTGGGATGCAATCACTGACAGTTGCTATAGTCATACTTGGAAGTAAGAAAAATACACTTCAGAAAATATGGTCTATGGCTTTTGGATTTTTGTTGGTTTTTTTCAGGTACTTATCAAGATGTCTGAAAACTGAGAACTGGAAAAAGTATACTGTTGACACGTTACTTGTCACAGGCTTGTTTTGAAGACTAATCTAGCAGCCAAAAAAAACCTGAGAGGATACATAAAAATCCAGACCCAATACTGTGTATTGGCAGCGTGGAGATCATTGTTAAAAACTTGTAAAAATTATTAAATCCTTGTGTAACAAATATTAAAAGCTATGCAAAACCTCATTATGTTAGAAACTTCCATAAAGTGCTGTTAAGCTGTTCTGTACAAAAATTGTCTCAGTTGGACAGCATTACATATCACAGTAAGCAATTGACATTGCAGGCATTACAGGCAATCTCAGGGACAAAACAGGACAGTGTATTTCTAGTTCACTAGAACTAAATTTATGAACATTTGGGGGGAATATTAAGGACGTGGTTTGCAAGTGCATTAAGAATACTGGTCAGTTTTGAAGGGAAACTAGAACTGAAGGAAAAACTGTCAGTATTTCATGCAAGTACAACACTTCACCAGAGAAAGGATTAACTTACCAATATGAAAGTGGGTCTCAAATTTACCACGTTTTAGCCTTAATGTAGCAAAAGGTATGTTTAATTTTATTATTTTTAAATGGAAGTGGCTTATTAGCTACCATTTGAATAACTTGAAAATCAAAGAGGTATTGTACAGAGGCTTGTACAACTTTTCTGTGAATTGTGCATTGAATTAACTACAGGAAATAATTGGTGTAACACGTGTAACTATATTTTTGTAGGAAGAATATCTATTTAAATAAAATTTTGTATCCTGCCATTTGATAATCACTATGTCCTGATACTTCTATGCTGGTCACGAGCCGAAACTCAGCACAAACTTGAAAATAAATGGCAAACTGCAGTAGTCTCACTTGAGGTGTTTTTGGGAAACGACACCTTGAACGTCTATCTGTGATGTGCAGACTTCATTTATCACTTTTTTAGCACCTGAAGCTCTGAAAATAGTTTGTTAACTTACAATATTCTTGAAAGTACACATACACGTATTTGGCTCCACACATGTACCTATGTATTTCGTGGACCAGGTATTGCAGCCTTCACTAGGTTAAAAATTTAGTGCAGTTTAAGAATTAATGCAGTAATTTCAAGTACTTAAAGGTACACAGAGGGAAACTTTATTAGCCAAAAACATTGACACTCAAAAGGGTTTGGTGACACCAGTGGTCAAACTACAGCCACTGCAATCACAGAACACGCTTCCCATTACTTTAATGTAAATGAGCCTTGTAAATGTAAAAAGTATGTTAAAATGGAAAAATGTAAAAAATGTAAAAATGAAAAGTAAATAATGAATTCTTACATACACGCTGTTTAGTAAAATTTTGCTGAGTCCTACACTTTCCTGTGCTTTAAGGAGCAAGAGATTTCTTGCAATGTCTGTGGAACCGTGGCTCAACTGTATGATGAAAGGAACCTCAGGAGAAGGACTCTGAATTTTCAGTGAAGGACTGAATTACAGAATGTCCAGGGTTGGAAAGGACCTCAAGGATCATGAAGCTCCAACCCCCTGCCACACGCAGGGCCACCAACCTCCCCATTTAATACCAGCCCAGGCTGCCCAGGGCCCCATCCGACCTGGCCTTGAACACCTCCAGGGACGGAGCATCCACAGCCTCTCTGGGCAGCCTGTTCCAGCACCTCACCACTCTCATAGTAAAGAGCTTCCCCCCATGGCATCCAACCTAATGTTGGATAACCTAAACTAACTGATAAGTAAGTAGTGCATGTTATAGCACCAGTAAGTTTAAGGCAATGGAGTGTAACAGAAGTACAATTCTCCTCAAAATTAACATTTTCTATTACTCTAAGCCACATATTTGTTGGCTCTCTGATCTGTTACATAAACTAAGGTTCCCCTCTTTCAACTTTATTGTTTTTTACATAAATATTACTTATTCCAGATGAACCATTCACAGATGCCTTACAACAAGCAGTAGGATAATCCTGCAATAAGCAGAACTCTTGCAATCTCCAGATGCTTCCAAAAGGATGTATGTGTACTTCAAGCTGCAAGGACAGTTTGCATCTTTTTTTTCATGATGGATTGCACAAGAATATTCCTTGGGTATTTTTTTTAGCTAGAGGTGTCTAAAGACTGAAGCTTGTGTAGGAGTATGGTGCCATTTTTGAAAAGTACAGTAAAGAAGGATTTGAATTAAGGTTTAACAGAGCCTTTGGAACATTAGCTACTCCTTAATAAGAGAAGAAAGTACGTGGCTTTTCTATGTGCACCACACAGAGGGTGCTGACACACTGGAACAGGTTGCCCAAGGAGGTTGTGGATGTCCCATCCCTGGAGGCATTCAAGGCCAAGCTGGATGTGGCTCTGGGCAGCCTGGTCTGCTGGTTGGAGATTCTGCACATGGACGGGGGTTGAAATCAGAAGATCATTGCAGTCCTTTTCAATCCAGGCCATTCTATGATTCCATGATTCTGTGTGATAAATACTGTATAAATACACTGTGTTTAAGCTGTGATGTTTACATTCATTTTTGGAGCTTGTAGTTGAAACAATCCACAACATGTTTACATTCATTTTTGGAGCTTGTAGTTGAAACAATCCACAGCACTCTTAAGTTTTGATTCTATAAAATACAAATAGAATCAAATGAAGTTTGAAGCTTCTGCATTAGTTTACAGCAACCCTGGAAGGCAGAATGTCACAAAAATAAATACAAGCATTTACATTTATGGTTCATTGTGCATGCTCTCATGTTAACTCCCAACAGTTCTGAGGGATTTAGGCTGCTTAGCAAATTAGTATGTGGTAGGCATAAACCATAATAAAGCAAGCATTGTGAATCAAAGGCCAACATCCAGCTCAACCAGCAAAACAGTGAAAGATTTTGCTGAGTTAGTATATATCACAAGGCATTGCTTTTGCCTGTGCCACATGCTGCACATTTGAAGATATTCCTGCTGTCCCTCATGATTTAAATTGGCTTAGCCAGTACCGCTGCCAGAATTCATGAGTTCAAGCTGAGCCAAGCCAGAACATCAGTGGGGGCAGCAACCCCACACCTCTGGTGTTCTGCAGAGCCGGGTGAGGGCTGAATGGAATTCATACAACAGCTTTGCTGCTGCTGAAATGGGGTTGGATTGCTTGGCAGTCTCTATTTACAGGAATTGGTTTTGTTCATTTGAGCAAGTTGATTCAATTTGTGGGGGAAAAAGAGGCCTTGTGTACAGACTGGTAAATGATGGAAGGTGTGTGGTGTGGTTGACACATAGAAAGGAAGGAATGCCATTCAGAGGGACCTCAACAGGCTTGAAAGATGGGCCCGGGTGAACCTAATGAGGTTCAACACAGCAAAGTGCAAGGTTTTGCACTTGGGCCGGAGGAATCCTAGGCATCTAAACAGACTGGAAGGAGTGGTCCTTGAGAGCAGCCCTGCAGAGAAGGACCTGGGGGTCTTGAATGAAAAATTTAACTTGAGCCAGCAGTGTGCCCTCGCAGCTCGGAAAGCAAATGGGATCCTGAGCTCCATCAGAAGAGGGGTGGCCAGCAGGGACAGGGAGATGATTGTCCCCCTCAACTCTGCTCTTGTGAGCCCCATGTGGAGTACTGTGTCCAGGTCTGGAGCCCCCAGTACAAGACAGAGAGCTGTTGAGAGGGTCCAGAGGAGAGCCACGAAGATGGTCAAGGCACTGGAGCACCTCCTCTACGAAGACAGGCTGAGGGAGCTGGGCTTGTTCAGCCTGGAGAAAAGAAGGCTGTGGGGTGACCTCATTGCAGCCTTTCAGTACCTAAAGGGAGCCTACAAACAGGAGGGGAGTCAACTCCTTGAAAGGGTAGATAACAGCAGGACAAGGGGAAATGGTTTTAAGTTGAAGGAGGGAAGATCCAGGTTGAATGTCGGGGAAATTCTTCACAGAGAGAGTGGTGAGGTGCTGGAACAGGCTGCCCAGAGAGGCTGTGGATGCCCCGTCCCTGGAGGTGCTCAAGGCCAGGTCGGATGGGGCCCTGGGCAGCCTGGTCTGGTATTAAATGGGGAGGTTGGTGGCCCTGCGTGTGGCAGGGGGTTGGAGCTTCATGATCCTTGAGGTCCCTTCCAACCGAGGCCATTCTGTGATTCTGTGAACTGCCATGATAAGCCAATTTAAATTCCCAGTAACCATGATGGTAACGTTTGGCTGGAAAAGAAAAAAAAAACATACTGCTTTCAACTTCCAGTCTAACTGAATGGCATTTGCCATTCCTTTAGTAATTTTTCCTCATGCAAGGCACAGCATTTAAGCACACAGCAAACAGAGGACGAGACACTCGCTTCCCGCAGCCGCGCAGCCTTCCGCCCGCCGCCCAACAGCGCTCAGCGCCGTCGCCGCGGCGAAGCCCAGTGGCAGCGCGGAGCCCGCAGCGGGCCGAGCGACGATTGGCGCAGCCACCTGCCCGCCCCCCATCCCTCCCTCCCGCGGAGCTCGTGCGGGTCGCGATTCGCGCGCGGATTGGCCGGGGCGGAGCGGCGCGAGCACCTGCTCCTCAGCGCCCGCCGCCCTGCGCTCAGCCGGCGCGTGCGCGGCTAGAGCAGCGCCGGCAGCGGGATCCGTGCTAAGCGCCAGCGGGGCGCAAAGGGGATCTCGCCGCCGGTAATCCGACCGCCGCGGGGACGGGGCTGCGCGGGGCGGCCGCTTTTCGCCCCGCGGGGATTGGATGCCAGCGTCGGGCCGGCGCGCAGTGCGTCGGCTGTTTTATAACTGGGGCGGGGGGGGAACGGCGGCCATGAGGGGAAGGCGGGCGGGGCTGCTGGGCGCCGGCCGTTAGGTGAGGGGCAGCGACGGCGGCGCGAATTGTGCTGCCCGTGCGTTACTGCGGGCGGAGCGGAGCCGAGCCCCGTGGCTCTGTGGCTGTGGGTGGAGGGGGAGCGGGTGTGGAATTGAGCTGAGAAGGGCCCGTCCAGCCTGCCCTCGTCGGGAGACGTGTCCTTGTACTCGGAACGTTCCTTCTTGCTGTTTCTCCCGTCCTGCTGCTGTCTTGCGTGTGTCCCACGAGCAGTGGCTCATTACTTGAGGTGTAATGTTGTGCTGGGGTTGCAGTGCGGTTGCTGTTCCCTAGGGCTTGTCTCAGAGCAGCGCTGCTGCCTCGTAGGTCTCTTCTGGTACATGGATGTGATGTGGGTGCCCGTGTTCCCACGGTAGAGTGACCGAGCTATGCAAAAACAGCTAAAACTTACAGGTGTGATATTCATAGCTTTTCGTATGTTAACTCATCTTCAGAATCCGTTGAACTTCCTTATTCTTTGCACGCAATTTCAAGACCGGAAGCTGTTAGGCTTAGTTTAAAGGTTTTGCATTGGAGGTGCTGAAGGAATTAAAAAACAAAACAAAAAATTGTAATGGTGATGTTTGGGACAAGAGAGGAAAGCATAGAGACCAAGAATGGCATAGAATAGGTGGGGGGGGGAGAATGGTAACGTAATTTAATGTACTTTCCCCAAAACTACAAGTCTGTCCTAAGGAGTGAGGCTTTTATGGCATAGTTGGCTTGCTGGCATGGCACTGGTGCATATAACAGCTTACTTTGGGCTGTAGATATAGTCGGTACAGACAGTATGAAGTGAACAGATCTTAGCAGGAATAAGGAATAAAATGAAAAAGTTTTCTTTTTGGACAGCCCTGAAGGGATGTGGGTGTTTTGTTTGTTTGTTTCGCCTTGGGACCGATCTCTGTTTGTATTGCTTGGTGGAACTAGCAGGTTGATAAATGAGCATGGAAGAATTATCATTTTGCTTCCAATGTTTGCGTTGCTTGGTGGATCTGATAAAGCCAGGGAGAAAAAAAGGGTCTTTGATTTCCAGAAGAAATTGCTGTGATAGTTAGAGTTTGCTTTGATAAGTAAATGATCGCTGAAGAGCTTTACTCTGTCTTACTAGGGTGGCTGCTCTCTGAGGCACAGGGAGCATCTCAGTGGCAGAATGCTAAGTGCAGGCAGTAGTGGCCAAAAGAACAGGAGGTTGTGAATGCTTCACGTTCCTTATTTGTTATGATTTTAATGTTATTTCTCTTGTAGATCAAGTCCTGGACTACAATTGAGCTAGTGGTGATAGTATCCCCACAACAACGCTTACAGTTTAAACTTTTCAGTTCTTCAGATGACCAGAATGCACTCCCAGTGGGACTGGCTGTGCTTGCTTCTCCTGGTAATTAGCTCTGTAACTGCAGAAATGGAAGATGAAGTTCTGGGTGCAGATGTTGAAGTGGAGGATTTTGACCAAGAGTCTCAACAAGCTGATGTTGACAAAGAAGGATCTTCCTTAGGGGTAAGGTTCTGGGTGTCGTTAATTGAAGCTTGTGTAATTTGAAGTTACATAGTTATACTGAGAGACAAATTGGTTCACAAATGACTTCAAAAAGAGCGAGTTAACATGGAGCTGCCAATTCAATGGGTGTCAAATGCACCAGACTGAGGTTTTTCAGTCATTGCGTATGATTTAATGACCCTGCTATACTGAAATGCAAAATTGGATCTCATTCCAGCAGTGGATAGTCTTGAATAAGATCTTGTAGTCCTTTAATCTTGGCGTGGAACCTTTTATCTGAAGCTCTCCTTGATAGCACACCTTGTAGCCTTACGTGTCATTACTAGAGAAGAAAGCAGAAAGCAGCTTTGTCTCACTGTTAATTTTAAATGAGATCAATTCCTTGTTCTTTTTTCTCATCATTAACGTATTAAAATACAGTCATTATTTCTTTCCAGAGAGTATTCCTGTGTTTGTTAAGCTATAGTTGGTAATAGATTGGGCGATTTTTATGGATTTCTTTTTTTTTAATTTTTTAAATTTTTTTATTATATTTTATTTTTTTTTTTTTTTTAACTGTGTAGCCCAGTTGTGATGTGTGAGGTAGGCAGGAAAACAAAAGAAGGAAAAACTTACAAAGAAATAGGGGGGAAGCAGAGAACTGCTGCAAGCTTAGTAAATGTTCTGTGTTCTTACATGTAACAGTATTTTGGTTAGGAGCTTTGACCTCAGTTGTTGTCTTTTAACTGTGTCTGTACTTTTATGCTGGTGTCTGAAACTTTCTGAAGTTTCAGACTTGAAAATGTTAAGGTGTTAGGGCATAAAAACAGAGGATGGGGAAAGTGGCGGTAAGCTGGCATGCCTTTGAGCTCCCTGCTGTGTGTACTGGGAGGACCACCAATTCTCAGACATCTCAGAAAAGGTTTTTTTCTGGTATCTGAAAGTGAGTATAAAACCAACCTAGCAGCCTCTTCTGCCATCGTTAACACGGTGTTAGGAATGAAGTGGCAGACTCTCCTGCCTTAAAAGCCCTTGCCTGGAGTCTTGATGTACTTGGCTGCTATTGACCTCACGTCACACAGATTCTTGGCAGATAGGAAGCAACTCGCTGGTAGAGGACACGTGCCCAACCCGTAGCAATGAGGTGGGGTTGTGGGGAAGCGTGTTTTATTCCCTTAAATGCAGCGGTGGTGGTCTGTCTGCGTGGGCTACTTGTGGATGTACAATTACAGAACCGTAGGAGTCCTCTGGAGGTCATCTAGTCCTACTGCTAGAAAGGTTTCCTAGAGCAGGTTGCACAGGAAAGCATCCAGGTGGGTCTTGACTCTGCAGAGAAGGAGACTCCATGAGCTCTGTGGGCAGCCTGTTGCAGGGCTCTGTCACCCTCAAGTAAAGATTGTTGTTTTCGTGTTCATAAGGAATTTTCTGCGCTCCTCTTGGTGCGTTGCCCCTTGCCACATCACTGGGTTACTCTGAAAAGAGCCTGGCTCCATCCTCTTGACTCTGTCACTTCAGCTCTTTATAGCATTGATAAATATAATAGCATCTGGTAGTGTATTGCAGTTGAAAAACTGTAGTTATGTTGGAGCACGTATCTGTAAATGTCTTCTAGGTGGTGTACCAGACTCCAAAGCCAACTGGAGATGTTTATTTTGCTGAAACCTTTGATGGAGGATGGAGTGGGTAAGCTGTACCTGAACGTTCTAAACTTGTAATTTCAGCAATTTAACTTACAGCAGCAGGAATTACTTGATATTCATTTACCTGCTAGGAATTTCTCAGTAGAAATGTCTTCAGTAGGAGGTGGTATGATCAGCTGTTAGAGTACTTTGTTTTATGGTGAAAGCTTTGGTGAAGTTGGGGAAACAGTGTTTGGTTTTTGAAGACAAATCACAACGTGTTATTGGTAACCACGATTGGTAAATGGAAAAACTTAAGTGCTTAAATACCATTTATCTCAATCCTTAGCTTTGTGAGATCTGTGAGAGTATTGTTTTCCCACGAAATCTAATCTTTGAAGTGTTGTATGAAACTTGTTGCAACTTTTCTGTTTGCATTCTTTAAATTACACCAGGTTCCATGATGCTGACCGTTGAAATCAAGGTCACACGTTCACTTGATAGAAACTCAATCTGTTTGTCCTGTGCTTGTTACAGCTTTTTTTTTATATCTATGCACAACTTTGTATAGTTAAGTGACTTGTACACTTGTTGTTTTAGCTGGGTGTTGTCTAAAGCCAAGAAAGAAGACACAGATGACAACATTGCTAAATATGATGGTAAGTGTTTTTAATGTGTACTTTGACTACATGGGTTCTGATGTTCTGTTGCTTTGTGGGAAATACCTCTCCTTCATGCTGTGTGCCCATTGTGCTGTACTGACTTCAAAAACCTACCTGAAAGCAGAAGCTTGTTATCTGTTGTTGTTGTAACTTCTGGTCATATTCCTTTGAATTTTTTTCCTTAAGCTTTCTGCTCTCCTTGTTGTCTGAGCCAAAACGCTAGGTTAGATGGATCTGAAATCTTCTGACCTGCAGATGTTATTTTATTGTCTTTACTGTGAATTGGGATTCTAGTGGCTTCTGACTATTGTAATTGAAGCACTGGTTGGAATGCTGTTTGGATGATTTGATAGAAAGATGTGGGCATGAAATTTGTGCACTGCCAACTTTCTTTTTGTCTTGTAGTGCTGCAGAGCTTGGGAAGTGTAGGGTGGTCCTGAATAATCACTTGTATCCGAAGGAGAATTATCAGTGCTCTATTGGATGACTGTTATTGAACTTTGCCATCAAATGTCAAGACTTCTCTACTTTGGCCATTAGTCTTCTATGCTGTGAACTCTTTGCTTCTCTTTGCCACAAGGCTACGATGTCTTTCATCAGCATGTTGTTTGCTTTTCTCAAAGATTGCATAGTTGATGTTTGTTTCCTTCTTTTAGGAAGGTGGGAAGTAGAAGAGCTGAAAGAAAACACAGTACCTGGAGACAAAGGATTAGTGTTAAAATCAGCTGCAAAGCATCATGCAATATCAGCTATGCTGACAAAGGCATTTATTTTTGATAAAAAACCTTTGATTGTTCAGTAAGTATTTCCTCAGATTCCATGCTTGATATTTATCATGCTTCAAGTCTTTGAGTCAGTAAAGTCATGTGAATCCTTTCATGTGGCACACACTGACACAGCCAGAGCTACCAGGGCTGTAAGTATGAATGAAAATAAGCAACTAAGGTTGTAGTTCAAGTGTAAGAAGTTATATTCCAACTCTTGAAATACTTTGGATGTAAGTTATTGTTTTATAAAATACTTTACAAGTTAATTAATTTTCAGTCCTAAATGAAAAAGATTTAACTTGTGATTTGAGTATGCTGCTTTTACAATTGCAGGGTATTTCTGCATAACTCAACTACAACGATTTGGATCCCTCCAGCTAAATCTAGTGTGCTGTGTGGGCATTTTCAAGAGAATAAATTCCAGAACTCTTTCTGGCTTCTGCCTCACTTTGGTAGAATCACAGAAAGGCCTGGATTGGAAAGGACCCCAGTGATCATCAGATTCCAACCTCCTGCCACAGGCAGGGCCATCGGCCTCAGGGTCATCACAAGCTTGAAACTTGTCTTACTGCTGTTCCCAACTGTAGCAGTTGCTACGGTGGCTGTTGTGGCTGGCATTGCTGCTGTATTGGTTTATGTGGCAACTGAAAACCTTTTAGTCACATAGGAATATTTTGACAGCAGAGCCTAATAAAAAATCAAGCAACTTAGACATGGTTGTAACGTGTTTGTAAGTAGAACTGCAGACATGAAGTTGATTTGTGTTTGTTTGATATGATGAGTTATTTTTTTTAATTTGCTCTTTGCCTAGATATGAAGTGAATTTTCAAGGAGGCATTGACTGCGGTGGTGCATATATTAAACTTCTTTCCAGTAGGGATGACCTGGATCTGGTATGCCCCTTTACATTTGCTATTGACTGTTTCATTGAGGAATGAGCATATTTAAAACTAAATAAAAACACAGACCCACCTCAAACAGCACATCTGTTACAGGATGTGTCTTGAGGGAAGGTAACTTGCAGAAATCAAGTGGGTTTCCTTCAAGTAGTTGCTTGAAGACACACCTTGGTACTTGGTGAATAGAAAAATCATATAAATAGTTAAAAAAACCAAACAAACAAACAACTGAAATTTCACAACAGCCGAATGCAATGTAGTTGGAAGAAAACGGAATCTGGTATTGAGGGATTGTTTATTATTACTGTGGCGCGAGAAAGCACCACTGAAACAGTGGATAGTAACACCTTGTTTTTCATCTTTATCAAAATACAAATGGCTGTGAAGAACAGAAACTGGTTCTCTTCCATCTTGTACTGTACTGTACACAGAAGAGTACACTTGGGTGCTTTGATCTGTGGCAGGCATTTCCACTTAATGTAAGGGTGAGGACTTTCGAAGCACATTCACCTTGTCTGAAGAGGCTTCAGTGATCTCTGTGGTTAGGCTGTTTCAGCAACTTAGAAAAGCTGTTAAATTCATGATTTACCCTGCCAGTTTTCAGTGTTAGGATTGAGGCCACATCAAACAGCTCTTAGAAAAAGGTAACCATGTTGTATATATGCCACAGTAATGTGGACAAGTAGTGCTCCAAATGACTTGGTAAAATGTACAGTTTGACACACCCTGAACTTTTTTTTTACTTTCACAGGAGTTCTTCTTTGACAAAACGCCTTATACTATTATGTTTGGACCAGATAAATGTGGTGAAGATTACAAACTACACTTTATCATCAGGCATAAGAATCCTAAAACTGGAGAATATGATGAAAAACATGCAAAGCGTCCTGATGTGGACCTAAAAAAATTCTATTTGGACAAGAAGACACATCTGTACACTCTTGGTATTGTTTAGTTTTTACATGTTTGAATTAGAAAAAAGATTTAAAGAAAAGAATTTATCTCTACTGAAGCTTCGTGTCTCACTCTTTTTGTCATTGTTTAGTCTGGAGCTGATTGCTCATGATTTGGCCTAAGTTATTTAATGACTGAGCTTAACTGCAACACATAAGTGGCTTTGAAATAATGCTGTTTAATGTTCGCTTACATGAAAAAACATTCCAGCTTTGGCCAGTCTTTAACCTGAAGAACTGATTTAATACTTTGAGTACATACTAAGATAAAAATATTTTAGGCAAAAGTCCAGTCTTTTAGGAAGGCATCGGAGTTGACAGTAGGTCAGTGAGCTCTCCTGCAGCGTATTGAACGCTGCTCTTCTCCACGTGTTGGGTTATCATTGATGCCTGCATCTGCAGAGCTGTGTGTGAACAGATATGTTCCTGCTTTCACCGAAGATAAATGAGTTTGACCTGCTTTTAGTTTGTGTGGCAGATATCCCTCCCAAACTCTGTTCTTCTGATAAAGGGGTGTATATAGAAAGGAGTGTATATGTTCCTGTATTCGGGGCATTCATTGGAGATAATTATTAAAGGTACTTTAATTCAGATGGCATTTATTCTGCAACAAATGGTTAGCAAGACCTCCATGCAGGTTTGTGACTACTGATGATTTTGTGATGGAAGACGTAAGTAGAAAAATCAGTTATTGTGTGTAAAATCATAAGGGGGTTAATTTTTGCATTTATTTTAATAAATTAGGAAACATAAACTGCGAGATGTTACTCAGGTAGTACCGAACTGTTGGTATAAAGTGTTACTTGAGCTTCTGTCACATACCTTCATAAAACTGGAGGAGTATTTACTTCAAATTAGTAATCTTGGTTGTGTTAAATGGGCATGTAAATGGACTTGTTAAGTACTAGAATGTTCTCACTGGTTATTAGAAGTGGATTTCAGTGTCTCAACAATCTGGAGTCTGACACTGCTTGATTCTGTGACCCTTGCTTATCAGGTACCTGCACTTGCTAAAATATTTTAAAAACTTGAATATAATGTTGGTCTGGAGCCTCCAGCACAAGAAAGACAGGGAGCTGTTGGAGAGGGTCCAGAGCATAGCCACGAAGATGGTCAAGGCACTGGAGCACCTCCCCTACGAAGACAGGCTGAGGGAGCTGGGCTTGTTCAGCCTGGAGAAAAGAAGGCTGTGGGGTGACCTCATTGCAGCCTTTCAGTACCTAAAGGGAGCCTACAAACAGGAGGGGAGTCAACTCTTGGAAAGGGTAGATAACAGCAGGACAAGGGGAAATGATATTAAGTTGAGAGAGGGAAGATCTGGGTTGGATGTCAGTGGGAAATTCTTCACAGAGAGAGTGTTGAGGTGCTGGAACAGGCTGCCCATGGAGGTGTTCAAGGCCAGGTGGGATGGGGCCCTGGGCAGCCTGGTCTGGTATTAAATGGGGAGGTTGGTGGCCCTGCGTGTGGCAGGGGGTTGGAGCTTCATGATCCTTGAGGTCCCTTCCAACCGAGGCCATTCTGTGATTTTGTGAATGTTCTGTGTTCACAGTCTGACAACTGAGAAAGATGCTGTCAGAGTCTGGAGTCTGAAAGAAAATATTGCTTGAATGATCCTCCAGCTGCGATATTTACACAGTTCTACTTTATTCATGCTTTCAAGGGTGGAATTATTATTTCACAGCTGAGATGCTTTTGGAGGCAAAGGTTTGTCTTCGGTAGTGCAGGGAGGAGGAAGGCAAAGCAGCAGAATTTTGACCAACTGGTGGTTTCTTTTTATTTTTTTTTTTTTTTTTAAGGGGGGGGGGGGTGGGGGGGGTTGACAAATTTGTTGGGTATGGCTTGCCTCTCGTGTGTGGGTTTAGTACCTGATTGTCTCCTGTTCTGCTCGCAAGGTTTTGTTGGCTGTCAGTTGACTAAGTCTAAAAATGTCACATGTATGGCTTTGGCTGGAGGTAAATTGATTTGTCAAGTGAATACTTCCTTATTTCTTCAATACAATTTTTTTCTTTTTAGTGCTAAAACCAGATGATACGTTTGAAATGCTGATTGACCAATCAGTCATCAGTAAAGGAAGCCTTCTTGAGGATATGGTTCCTCCAGTAAACCCTCCTAAAGAAATAGATGATCCTGCTGATAAGAAGCCTGACGACTGGGATGAGAGACAAAAAATACCTGATCCCAATGCTGTCAAACCAGATGACTGGTAAGGAGAAAGCTTCACCTGTTTTAAAAAAAAAAAAAAAAAAAAAAGTATATACAGGTTATTGTTTTATAATATTTCCCTGGCTTGATTTTGTTGTTTTTCTTTCTCTCAACACTTGGGATATGTTTCACTAACAGTTGAAAACATGTATTTGAGGAGGATGTGCAAGGATCTGATCTTCTTTTAGGGAAAGAAGTACAATCTCGACTTTTGCTGATTTGAATTCTGTTGCAGTTAGTAACTAAAATCACCTTACTTGAGGATGTGTTTGGTTGTTTTTTTTCCACTACTAGTAGAATCATAGAATGGATTGGGTTGGAAGGGATCTTAAAGATCATCTAGTTCCAACCTCCCTGCTGTGGGCAGGATTGCCACTACTAGATCAGGTGCTGCGTACTTAATTCCTTCTTCCTGGAGTGGTGTTCATATAGCAACTTCAACAGAGGAAAATTTTAAGGGATACCTGATTGACACTTGCCAGTTGATGGCAGCTGTTTCTGGGCTAACCAGTGCCTTGAAACGTTGTAAATGTATGTTTATAAATATAAATGTTTATAAACAGAGAAGTAGGTGCCTAATTCGCATTGTAAGTGTGTCTGACTTTGTTGTGCCCTTGAATGTTATCCCATCCATAGCAGTAGGTCCTCTGAACAGAGCATTGGTTCAGGGTCAAGCTGATGTATTTTCTAACAGTAGTCTGTCATTGAAGGGATGAAGATGAGCCTTCCAAAATAGAAGATCTTGATGCTGTTAAGCCTGAGGGATGGCTTGATGATGAACCACAGTATGTTCCGGACCCCAGAGCAAAAAAGCCAAAGGACTGGTAAGAACTTAGTAGATGAGGGCCTGTTCATGTGGTTTTTTTTTTTTTTTTTTTTTTTTAGGTAAGTCTACTTGTTTTCTGGCTAATTGTGAGCTAATGAGAGCTTAACCCAAATCTCACTGTCTTTAACATATGAAATTGGAACATAACAAGCGTGGTCAAATACTTATTGATTTGTGAGGCTACTTGTAGAAAAATATGCAGATGTCAATAATTGCCTTGTATTCTGAAGAGCTGTGAACAGTATGGAGCTGTTTGAAAGAACAGGGATAAGCAGCAAAGCTGTCAAAGTTGATGCTTGAAGACACATAGTTGTCCTAAAGCATGTTATGGGGAGCTGCTGCAAGCTGCCTGCAGGTGTAGGAGTACGATTACATTTCACCGAGCTACAGTAGCTATGAATGTGTGGCTGTAAAGCATTCAGTACTCTGGAAAAAGCACGTTGCAGTTAGATCAGCCCATTGAACTTCAACCCAGTTCTGGGGTTGTCCCAGCAAAGCGTGTTTGGATCCAAAGTTATACTGAATGTTAGTGTTCCCATCGGACCAACCTGAAATTGGTTATTTGTACCTTTCTTTCTGTAGGGATGAAGAAATGGATGGGGAGTGGGAAGCCCCTCAGGTCCCCAATCCGAAGTGTGCCACCGCACCTGGTTGTGGACTGTGGGTGCGTCCCATGAAGAGCAACCCCAAGTATAAAGGGAAATGGAAAGCACCTATGATAGTTAATCCTAATTATCAGGTACTAGCAATATTGTAGGTTATTATTTAAGAGGTGCAGAGCTCAACCAAGCAGACAAGTGGCATTAGTATGTATGTTTGGCCCTTCATACTGAACTTGATACAGTCACTTAGTGCTGTAACACAGTATGGAGGAAAAAGGATTGAATTTAACAGAGATCTGTCTGCCCTAAGCCAGAAGTCAGAGACCTACCTGCCAAAATTCTATAGGTTATTTCCAGTTCTGTTTTCCTGAAATTCAGAGGCTGCCCCTTTGCTTTTTAAATTGTGTATTTGAAATAGTCAGAAAGTCTTAATTACATTAAAATGTATTTCACTGGATGTGTGTTTTTGTTTGTTTGTTTGTTTTGCATTTATTTTTGAGGTATAATGATGTGATTACATGTTTTTCTTTCCCTACAAAGGGAATCTGGAGCCCTCGGAAAATACCTAACCCAGACTATTTTGAAGATCCTCACCCGTTTGAGATGACACCTATCGGTGCTGTTGGTTTGGAACTCTGGTCTATGACATCTGATATCTACTTTGATAACTTCATAATATGTTCAGAAAAAGAAGTAGCTGATCGTTGGGCAGCAGATGGTTGGGGCTTGAAGAAATTAGTAGCAAGTGCTAACGAGGTATCGACTTAATTATATTCTTGGTAGGAGTTCTGTTGGAATAACTTTCAGTAATAGAATTATTCTGTGATTGATAATCTTACAGAATAGCTATGACATTCTTTTCCTAGTTTGGCGTACGGCTTTCCCAGGTCAATATTGGGCTGAAATTAAAAGGTAACAACATTTTACTTAAGCATCTAACAAGAAATGTAGCAAGAATTCAGTAATTGATGTATCTCCCACTGTTAATGGTGATACTAGAATTCAGTACCTGTCAGCGAACGGAAGCTGAGCTATTTGCACCAAGACCTCTCTATATACTTAAAACTTGTCACTTTTGTCTGACTCCTTTTTATATGTGCTTTACATGTGCTCCCCTGCCATAAAAAGTGGTTAATAGCCGTTATTTTTTGTATTTAATAAATCTGGGTCTGTGGCTGTTTGGATGTGTATTATGCAACTCTGAGAATAATATGTGTATGTTTCTGGAGCTGCATCTGTTCTTCTGTTTCTGTGTGTACATCCACACTGCTTACTGCAATTGGTCAGTCAGCAGTTTCTTCAGCTCTCTTTCGTATGTCATAACATGAATTCTTCTGAATAGATGGGAACATGAGCCCCTCTAGTGGCTGTTTTTACTGACTGCAGTTGAGAGAGAGTACTTTAGTTAGAATGAATCATTCCAAGGTTATTCAGAGTATGGCTGCTTGACTTCTTTAGGGCCATGCAGGATTCCAAGTGTCATTGTTGAAATTGTCTCTTGAATTCTGACAGGCATGGGGCATTTTTTTTTTTTTTTTTAGGAAGCCTGTTCCACTTTCACAAGTGGTTTGTTCTAGCAGTCCTGTGTTTACTTTGGGGAATGAAAGCAGATGTGGTTATGGGGAAAGCAATGATGGATTGGCTGTGTAAGTATGGTCAGTCTCTGGCAGGTGCTGTTAACACAGAAAGGATGAGAAAGTAGCAACAGACCAGGCAATTTAGGAAAGCCACCTCATTTCACAGCCTTGCTCATCTCAAATATTTGTTTCTGTGCCTGGAGTTGCATCTGTATCTGTACAATAGCAAAAGGTAATCCTGAAGTTCCTTCACTCCACTGCCTCTGTAGCTTTCTACCTTGGTTGCTGATGTCCCCTTTCCAGAGTCTAACTGAACCAAGACTTGCCTATGTAAGTCAGAACCGGTCTGGAAGATAGCTGCCTGATGAATTGGCTGTTGGAGGAGGCAAAGTGGCAGTACAGATGGAGCAAGATGTTGCTCTTCAGGTGGCTGGCTGCTCCTTGGAGGTTCTTATCAGTTAAGCTAGCACAGCGTGGGGAAAGAGCAAAAGAGCTGCAGAGAGTGGCAAGCATGAAGTTGCTCCAACTGGAAGGGTTTTCTTTGGGCAGCATAAGGGTTGAAATATATACATTTTTATAAGCTTACCTAAGTGGTGAGAGTGATAAAAATGCTTTTTACTTTATTTTTTTTAATGTAGCCTGGAATGTTGAGTCAACTGGTGACTGCTGCGGAAGACCATCCATGGCTTTGGGTTCTTTATATCCTGACTTTAGCTCTGCCTGTTGGTCTGTGTGTGTTGTTCTGCTGGCCAGCAAAGGTTAGAGAAATTTTGAATGCGTTTTTCATCTTCCGCCATTCTTAATACTTGATTGAAAACTCCTAGTATTTGTGCAACAGTATTTGTGCAGCAGCTCTCCTACTGTGCTGTTGGTATTAGTTAACTCCTTGTGTGTGTTTGTTTAATTCTTAACCTGAGTTTAAGTAAATGGATGTCTGATTTGTTTTAGAAAACAGATGAAGATTTTGACTTAAAAAAAACAGATACATCTATGCCAGTTACAAAGGGAGAAGTAAAACAAGGAAGAGAAGAGCTAGAAGATGATGAAATAGATTTAGAAGAAGATAAAGAAAATGAAGATATTGGTGAAGATGGTAAGAGTATGTTGCTTCATAGTTGGATTGATGTAAAAGCATGGAAAGAACTAAGTTGTGGACTGTGCTGCAGTAATTGCAGCCAGTATGCCAAATCTGCCTTGCTCTGAGCCTTATCTCTGTAGCAATTGGTGTGCCGTAGTGTTTTGATAAATACAAGAAAAAAAGAGAGTTGTATAATAGAGTTCTCTTCAGTATTTCTTCACTTTTGATAAATTGTTCCAAGTCTTATGTTCACAAACGTATCTTCTGCCTCCTAAACATCTCATATATTGAACACTCTTTGGGTGGTTCAATTATCTGTACCTCTAGTGGTTACAATCAAGTTGTCTTTAAAATGTGTCTGGAATAGCCTTAAGTCTTTAGCACAACGCTTGACTTATTCCTCTGTGGGAGCATCATACCCTGAACTACCAAAACCCATTGGTTCTAGTAACTCTTGTTGAAGTCTGAAAATACAGTGGATTTGAAGTACTGAAATCTGCTTGCTTGATACCTCTTGTTAGGAATGCAATGCCAGCCTGCAGAGATCTGTTCTGCTGTTCCAAGGGAGAAGCAAATGATCAGTAGTGTAAGATGCACTTTGGCATTCGAAGAGTAACATGAGCATCTCACGTTGTGTTATCAAACACGAGTGGAACTACTCAGCTGTGGCTTTGATGCTGTGATGGCATTTCCCTCTGCCTGCAAGTGCAAAGAGAATCATGTAACTTACAGTGCATTGTTTTGACTCCTGTGAGAAAATCTTCAGCCTCATACTGCAAGCTTCTGTCTCTTACTTTGCTCTGTAAGAGCAAAGCAAGTTGCAAATGGCTGGCATCGTAAGTTAGAAACTAAGCAGACGTGAATGCTGGTTATTTTAGTAGTGACATGATCTTGTATTGCTGACCAGAACTTTGTCGTTTCTGCCTATTTCTGCACCAAAGGCCATGAGAGTTGATGGGTTTTGGCTGTATGAATTAATATTTAACTTTGCATCAGTGTTCCCGTGCTCAGAGAATTGAGTACTTAGGCATAATGCTTTGCTACACCAAACTTAATTCATCTGCCTTACCTTTTTTTTTTTTTTTTAACCAGCTGTTCCTGATATTTCAAAATTAGGCTCCATTTTATATCTTCATCTCCAGTTACTAAACTAAATGCAGAGCAACATCAACGTAGGTAGCTTTTGTATGACTCTTCTAAGCTTTTCAAATACATTTCAGGCTTCAAAGACTTTCTTCTTTAGAGAAGAATTGCTTAGCTCCCCTTTAGCTTTTCTGCTACCTTTTACACTTGCAGGTTAAAATCTTCCCTCTCTTTCCATCTATTTTTTGCCTCCTCGTATCTGGTCATAGGTAGTCTTAGGTTCTCATATGATTCTTTTCGCTCAAGATAGAAGAGAACTGGAAGAGACAGAGTTCATAGAGGATACAATAAAGATGGGAAGGGAGGTTCCTCCTTCAGGTAATGGAAAAGGAAATAACTTGGGCTAGGACTTGAAAATGATCTCTCTTCTCCTTTTTAGTTTGTCTCATTGCCAGAGGTGGAACATCAGGTAGGTGCCAGATGTGTGAGTTGCCTGTGCGATTTCTCAACACGGTATCTGTAATCATCAATATCTTCTACTAATCCTTTGGATCCTAATCATTCCTGCATTTCCTTCATAGTCATTATCTGCTTTGTTTTCTGGAGTTGAAGGCAACGAACTGTTTTCAACTGTGAAGCACTGAATGACTTCCAAGTCACATCTTAGTGTGGGTAGTTCAAAAGTGTGGCAGAATGGCAAGTTTCAGAAAGACTTGTAGGTTTCTGTGGCTCCAGTGAGTGTGAATTGCTGGCATCTTGAATGGCTCTGTCTTGGGACTTAGTTGTCTTCATCAACATCTGAGCAAGGGTTTTGAACACTTTTGTCATGCTTTACTCGTTAGGGTTGATTTTTAAAACAAAACTTTTGTCTACGTTTCTCTTGAACTGTGACCTCCAGCCTTATGGTTGTAGTTCTCCTTTTGATAACAATAGATGAGACATATGAATGTAGATACATGTAAGGTACACTTACAGCTGGGAAAACTCTCGGGCTTCATCCAAATGTGCTGTATTGCTTGGCTCACTTTGTTAGTATATTGTGGACAAAGGTTTTTGGTGTCTGTATGCTTTTGTTCGGGCATTACTGAGCTCAGCTGTTAAAATCTTTGTATTTTTATGGTGAAGCAGTGGTTATGAGGCATCACATGGCAGAATAGTACTGAGAGATGTTTGGGTAGCTATGCTCAGCAGTTGTCTTCTTATTTCCTTTCTGCCAGACATGGATGTTGCTTCTTGTTTACTCCTTGGTAGAAATGTTTGCAGTAGATAACCCAGTCATAGAAATTCTCACTTGAAGATTGCAGTTTGAAATAAAAGACTTGTCAAGCTTAAGTAACTTTATTTAATATGTCATGGTGTGATTGCTGGGTCTGAATCCTTATATTGAACATAGATACCTAAAATGCAGGCATGGGAGTGCAAGCTCGTAATTTCTGAGGCCTAAAGTGGAAACAAAAACAGCTGGGAGCAGGGTTTCCTTCACAGAATGCATGGAATGGAGAGAGACCCCAGAAGGGTAACCAGTCTGATGCTCGGGGAGTAGACTGAGAGTGTTTATGCATTCACTACTCTCTTTATTTTAGTACAGTAATGCACTAAACCACAGTAAGCTACAACTTCATTGAGAAGGTAGCTCTGCTTTGTTTAGCTTATATTGTATTATAAACAAGCAGTTAATTCCAGAACAGAAATTGGCTAGGAAGAACTTAGTGTGTGACTGTAGTGTGTTTCTAATGTAGTTCCGTTTAAAAGTAATACTGATTTCTCCTGCAGAAGACGAGAGTAAATATGGGGAAGATATTGATGATGAAGAAAATGAAGTTGCAGGTGGAAGTCAGGAAGGAGATGATAAGTCAAATAAATCTGGCTCAGAAGATGAGGTGAGTTTGCTCTGCGAAACTGCGTGTGTGAGTTCACAGTGCTCTTACACAAGTTCTTCACTGATTACCCCTCTCTCGATTCTCCTGTTTGTGAGAAGCTTGTTCCTGTACGTTGGCCTAGGAATGCAGTGTCTGATAAACCCATTAACCTTTTCTTTGTGAAAGCAGTAACAGGAGCTGATCATGTGCCTGATACTCTGTACTGGAATATGGAGAGGTTATGTCTTGCTTTTACCTGGGTATTTTCAGGGTGTCTGAGTTCCTAACATGACATGATCAGTGACCTACTTAGGAGACTGCATGCATGGCATGTTCTCAGGCCAGTGGTGCCACCTTCTGGGAACTATGCCTTCTGAATCGAGTGCTTCCATTAGGAGATGCAGGGAAGTGAGAAACAAGGTGTTGTCTGGGAATGGAGCCTGAGTAAGTCAAGTGCTTCTCAAGTGAGAAACAGACAGCTGATTTAAGAGCAGTCTGTACTGTTTGTTACTTCCTGTCTTGGAGAGCTACAATGTTTTAAATGCTTCTTGCTTAACAAGTGGAAAGGAAGATTAGTACAATATACACTTGAAGGAATTAGCTAAATTAATTAAAAGACATGGCTTTTGAACTAGTGAGTGAATGGGGAATAAACAAATTTCTGATGTTAGTTTAGATGTGCTATTCTTCTTCGGAATTCAGAAAGAAAAACCTTATACTCACTTTGTTTATCATCAAATCGCAGAGTGGCCTGGGTTGGAAGGGATCCTCAAGGATCATGAATCTCCAACCCCCCTGCCATAGGTGGGGCTTCCAACCTCCATTTCTAATACCAGACCAGGCTGCCCAGGGCCCCATCCCACCTGGCCTTGAACACCTCCAGGGACGGGGCATCCACAGCCTCTCTGGGCAGCTGTTCCAGCCCCTCACCACTGTCATAGTTAAGAACTTCCCCCTGACACCTGACCTAAATCTTCCCTCCCTCAAATTAAAACCTTTTCCCCTTGTAAAATGATGTTTATACATTACCTTGTTTATCGTTTATCATTAGTGTGATATTGCAGGGAAAAAAATCTATCATTTAACTATTGTATTGAGTGCTAATATGATTTGGGGGTAGGGAGGAATAAATAAGTTTGAAGGATTAAATGCACACTGCTTAAGAATGTGAATGCTGATTTATTTTCTTCCTTCAGATGACAGTAGCTGATGAAACTGCAGGCTCTGAGGATGGTCCGCTGAAGTCAGTGCGCAAAAGAAGAGTACAAAAGGACTGAGTTGTTGGCAGCTAGTGTTTCTAGCTCTAAGCAGTACTAACTTATGACATGCCACTGCAAGGAGCCTGGCAGCATGCAGGTTCCTGAGATGTGAAGGGAAAAATGGGACACATTGCTATTTATCCTCTCTTAATTCTCTGACCTCTTTTAACCTTCCCAAGCTTCCTTGATGCCCTTTTTTTAACAAGAAAAGAAGAGTTACCTAATGTTTCACATTTAGAATAAAAGTGAAACTGCAAGTTAGCCAACTGATTTTACAAAGCAGATTCTTAAGATTTGAAGAATCTTAGAAATCAATATTAGTCAGGGATGAAAAATGTTACTCTAAATATTTTTAAGAACATGAATAAATATTTTTGCAGCTCTAGCACAGAATCAGCTGTTTGCACATCTGAGCTGAGAGTGTTGCAGTACAGGTGAAGGATCTACAGTTCACGTTGTTCAGTGAAAAGGTATCTTTTTCTGTGCAGAGCTAAATGCAATAACTGTTTTTGTATGATCGTTTAGTGCTAGCAACAATTTTTCTTGTATCTTATTTCTTTTAGTTGGCACTGTTACAGTGGTCACCTGTTCATTTCAAACATGGGTTATAGTAATTTATTTTTAAGAGATAGTTTAAAATGGAGTACTCAAAGAAGTGGTTAATTGATGTGACTTAATTTGCTTTTGAATGCAGATATTAAAACTACAGAAGTGATATATAGATTTTTTCATACTTTTATAGCTCTCATGCCAGATGGCATAGATTTTGTTTATAGAATATTTGCTGAGTGTATATTGTGTATTAAAAATATTTAATAATTCTTGTTTAACATGAAATTGATTAATATAGATAAGAATTTTCGATGTGTTTTTTTTTTTTTTCTTTTACAAATGTGAGTTCTTGGGCTTTCTTCTAATATAGTTTAATATTCTTGGGCTTTCTTTTAATATAGTTTAAATAAACTGCATATCATAAGAGAAACTACTAAAGTTCAACTGTATACTAAAACAAACCAGCAAAACTGCAGCTTTTGGAATCCTGCTCCTGCTTGGTAGCTGCCTTGAACATGAGTGAGTTGTTAACTGCTAGCAAAAGCAAGTTCATAGGCTAAAACCATTTAGAAGTTCGTTAATTGGTGAAGAACTTTTTGCCAAGGAAATGTGTTATTTTACTTATAAACACTTGTAAGTCTACGAAGATTGTGTTGTTTTCCTTGCTCTGCTATTATTTAATAGGAAGTTGGTAACAGTTTTTAGCTGACTCTTCCGAAGGAGCCGGCCTGCACAGGTATTTGTATTGAAGGCAAAGAGTGCTGCGTTCTGTTTGGTGTAGAGAAATACAGGGAGAGGCCATAGTGAGAAATGGTAAGTGCAACCGTTTGAGCCCTTCTAGGGTCCATGAACTAATAAGTAATGACTCCTGATTTCCCCCTTTGCCCTGAGACTTTGCAGTAACAGATAGCTGTTAGCAATGAGGTGTCCTGCAAACAACAGAGGGAACCCAGGCAATGGGGTGAGTGTGGATTGCTGGTCACTGTAGCTTTTGGGAAGCATTTCAGCGCTGTGACTGAATCTCATCTGAGTCTGGTGAAAGTCCTTTGGAGTTGTTACAATGTTTACATGTGGGCTTTTGAGTTGATTATGTATTTATTTGGTAGATCAGCACACCTTTATAGGCAATGGTAGAGTTGTCAGCTTATAGTGGGTGCTAGTCTTAATTCTCTTAGGGTTCCCCTAAGGTCTTGATTTATGCCCTCTCAGCATCTTTGCTTACACCTCACTTTGTAGTAAACGACTCCTTATTTACCAGGTTGGACTGCCTTAAGAGGCCATAGTTCAGGTGCTGTATGCAATGGTACTGACTTAGTAAGACCAGTCTCACTTTTCATACTGACTTAATGACTACCATTACCTGGAACCTGCAGATAAAGACAACCTCCTGCTTATCAGTTTATTGATCTATTCTATGCTAGGAATTAGGAGAGGAAGATGAGAGCTTAAAGGATTTGAGGCTCTAGATGAGGAGAAAAAAAATGAGGCAAGAAGGGAACCCTTCTGTTGATACTTATAACGTTGTGATTTCCTTCTGTATTTCCTCTGTGTAGCTGATTTGCATGTGAATGTTTTGGTGAGGCTAGGCAGGACCAGAGGGGATGGTGGAGGGGTGTTCTCTCACAATTTCCTCCACCAGTGGCTTCCACCATTATAAAGGTAGGACAAAATAAGAGTTCTGGTGTCTGTCTAATGTAGAGCTAGGTACGTGTGTAGACGAAGGTAACATCATCCAACTCTTAAAATGAAGCCATGTGGAGATTGGCAATATTTACCATTGAGAACACAGGATGCAGTCTGCCAAGTCTGTCTTATTTCTTGTAGCTTACAAAGAAGAGCATGCTAAGATTCACAGGTGAAAATACCGTGCGAGTCAGTCTCTAAGCTCACTGAAAACAGTAATTAACCCAGTTCTAATCTCAACACTGGATAATTACATGTAGTCTTCCAGACACTTAGCTATGTAGAAGCAGTGAAGATAACAGCAACTCGTTTCAGGCTTTATAAATGTTAAACCAAACTGAGACAAATCAAAAGTTTTTATTTAGTGTAAAGTCAGAAACACAACATCTTTAAAATGCTCATAAGTTAAATGAAGGCCGCAGTAATGGGATGAAAAGTGGTACATAGATTAAATGACTACTATATACAGACTGCTGATGGGTCAAATATCACGATCCAGTCTTACAATACACAACCATGATGTTGAGATTCCTTGATCTCACAACTGCTCAAGTCTAGTAAGTGCATGCTGTGTTACTACTTGGTGTTTGTGGATGTCGCCCGCAGTGTGGATGGAGATGTGCAGTGACATGGCCTGAAAGCTAGAATGGCTGTAATGAAGTGCAGTTTGTACAAGTCAAATGCTTGGTGAGGTGTGTGTCTTCAGTGCTCAAACCCTGGACAAGCCCTGTGATTTACTCCACCTGCTAGAAATTTCTGCACGTATTCAAAATTTCAGATAGACAGCAATGTGACAAAGCAATCCAGAGATGTTCAATAGTAACATCAGCTGCTTATAGGACCCTGTGACACAAACAGTGTCAGCCACGCGTGCCTTGGTGGGTGAAACTTTTGGTCATCTCATTTCTTGACACAGACTTTGTAAACAACCTTCAAGCCACAAAATATTAGTGCTTTGTTTTTAGTCATTTTAACTCCGCTGAGGTTCCAGTGAGAGCTTTGCAGTCATTTTAAATAGAGAGAAATGGGAGATCTCACGGTAACAGCTTACAGATGAGGAATAGCAGTGCTTAGCTGCCAGGAAGCTTGTGTTCTGAGATGGATTTATCCTGCCATGACATCCACTCATACACTTCCTCCAGCTTTGCTTTACGCAATCTATCACAGCAAAACGGAAAGAGAAGCTTATACTAATAGCTCCCTTTTGTTAAAAGGTAAAATAAAATGACTTCATCACTAAAGAGGCAGATGTCAGTTTTAGGTGACATCCGTAATAAGTCCATCCTGCTCCATGGCAAGATGAAACAGACCTAATGGTACCAAGCTAAAATTAACAGTGCTGTTTGTATTTCAACTTCTGCTCTTCTCTAACACCGATTATGCTAGATGTACCCTTTGTAGGGGAAGTGCTGGCACCCAGAATCTGGGCTGAACTCCTTCTAACAAAGCCAATGCAGTGAACTAAAACAGGACACCTTGACATCAGGCATTGCTCATTGCAGCCCAGATCTGACAGACGACAGCCTCTTCTGCCCTGGGTGGTTTTGTGCTATGTCTCTAGAGGTACTTGACAAGCTCTGGCCCTGTGGCAGGTAAATAGCTGCTGTAAGGCCTGAAGCAAGGACGAGTTTGGCACTTCAGGAGGAAAGTAAAAAGGTGGCAAGGAAGGACTTGTTCTCAGCTTCTCGCTACTCCACCCTGTTCACAATGAGCAAGAGGAAGAACACTGCTGGCTTTCTGTTAGTCAAGCTTATTACTCAGGTTTTGGGTGAGTTTGGTTGAATAGTATGTTACAACACAGAACCTGACCTTTCTTTAAGGAAAGAAAGTTAAAATAGTTTGAAGTGTAGATCTTACAAATGATACACGTTAATATTGCATCCATTTGATATTTCCCTGATGCAAGTTACTTATCCTTGTTCACTTTCACTTAACCCTTTCCAAAAAACGTTGTTTTCCTGCATGCAAACTGTACAAATTATGTCAGACTGTTACTGCTTCACAAAAATTCCTAACTGGTTTATAGGCTTCTGTTTACAGCTGTTTTGCAGAGATGTGAACGGTACTACACAGTAATCTATCAACAGTTGAGGTGAAAAAGGTGATGCAATTAGCCTTTGAATATTTTTATCAAGTAAGTTTTAAACACCATTTTGTAACTATCATTTTCCTAGTCAAGAACACCAAGACCTCTAAGAGAGCCAACAAGACGTGTTTAAGTTGACTAACTGAATCCCATTCTTAGCAAGATATGCTCATTTTTAATACAAATACGAAAGTCTAGTAAGTCTCTACACTGTAATTGCACATTGCTTAATCTTAATATACAAACTCGCATCTCCTGTTCATGATAATGTTCTTAATTCTGCTTATTACTGAAGTTTATAATCTTCAGGAATCCAGTGAAGCCACAAACTAAGATTATTATAGCTTATGTAGCCTATGCCAATGAAAACAAAAAAGACAGCAGCAATACAATGACATCGCTTGTGAGCCAACCCCTACTTCCTTTTGCTTTTTGTGTCAGTGGTTTGGAAAACACTAGATGCTGACATCAGATTTTCTATATACTGTCCAAGAACTTGGTTTTCTGATTTCAGTTTCAAGTTTTCTTCCTTAACAGCATCTACTCGTGCTGAGAGATCTGTGAAGGTGACATTATAAGAGGAAAAAAAGAAAAGAGGAATTAGATACATGCATCCAATAATGAATATATTCTGTGTGCCTACATCAATCGTGCGGGTTTTGCTTAATGTGGGAAATGCTGCTTTAAGGTATTGCTTTAGATAAAACCTGGGTGGGAGTTCCACAATAGGTGGTACAGAAAGTATTTCAAATCTACTTTCCCTGTTAATCTGTGTTCTTTCTGAATTGAGTGCAGCTAAACTATTTGGAAATCAAGATGTAGGTCAGCTGAGGATCCTGGGAAGTTGAATCTATCACCCTTCAGCCTGTTGTGAGCAAATTCTGCATTACAGAAGAGGGGAAGAAGAAGTTGACATCACTAATGTTTCGGAAGCCTTGTTTGTGTCCTTCCAGCTGCGTAAGCGATGTACCAGCAGCACTGTCAGCCCAGGACAGCCCAGAACAGTAAGGTTCTCCTTTTAATTCACATTGTGCTTATGAAAAATCTGAGTGCTGAACTGCTAACCTTCAAGTGTGTGCTGCAGTTCCAAAACTTGATTAATAAGCCGTGTTTTCTCTTCTAATTCCACCTGATTCTCAGCCTCAACAGCTGCAATAAATCATAGGAGCTTTAATATAATAGCCGGGAATTATACTAGGCAGAAAAGATAACAGTGAAGAAGAACATTAAGAACTTATACCGTCCATGTCAGCATTCATCATTGTAGAAGGGGCTCTTTCAGCTTTAGAACTCAGCCGGCCCGACCGACGGTCTGCTTAAGGTAAGAAGGGAACAGAAAATTGAGGCTGTGGCCGTAGATTCCCCTCGGCTCCATCACCCAGCGCCTTGCAGCCGATCTTTCTGGAAGCGGCTCCCGCAGAGGCCGAGCGGCATCAGCCGCCCGCTCTCACCGCCCATCCCGTTCCGTTTCACGGCAACCGCGGTACGGCCGGACCCGGCTGCCTCGCTCCCCTCCGCCAGCCCTCGCCCCACCTCCACGGCCCTACGGAGCATCCAGGACCTCGGGAGCGGCTGCCGCAGGCGCCGGGGCCCGGGTTAGCGGCCGCCCGACGCGAGCAGCGCACCGACCCACCCCCCGGGGAGCAGCCGGCCGCCTGCCCGCGCCGCCCCCCGCACCGACCGTCCCGCCGCGTCCCCACCTGGCGCTCCCGCGGGCCGCGCAGCGCCGGCCCGGCCGCAGCCCCGCCGTTCGTTCCGCTCTTCCTTTCCTCCCGCCGCGCCTGCGCCAGCGCCGCGCCTGCGCCGGGCTCGGTCGGGCAGCGCGGGTGGGAGCTTGGAACGAGCCGTGCCGCCTTCCTAGCGCGGGCGCTGTGACACGGGGCTGAGCCCGGGATCCTGCGGGCAGCCGCTTTGTTTTTCTAAAAGCTGACCCGGCACGGAGCGGCCCGCATCTGCTTCCCTGCGCTTTCCCCTCTCTCTGAGAAGGGTGCGGTAAGTGCCAGCTACCCGCAGGTCCGTGCAGGTGCTCAGCCCTGCTGTGCGGCTGGTTTTGGGGTACTTAGCACGAGGCTGGCAGACTTGGTTTAACGTGTGTTCACAGAGCTGTTCTGTTTTGGTTCTGTTCTAGGTCAGCTTACTGCTTTCTACCTCAGAGAAAATACGTCAAGTGAAATACTGTCAGCACATGATGCAAATGAGTCGGTTTTTGATATTTAGCAGTATTCCAGCGCATGTTCTGTGGTTTAAAGAAGGACTTAGAAGGTCCTCCTTGCTGGAACGCCGGGGTGCTGCCCTTAGTGATCTTCTGCTGCTCAGTTTATTAAGCTGTTTTTACGCTTACACTCTCCATCCCTTTGCTTCAGGTGAGTGGTTTTTCTGACTGAAGAGCTACAAAGAGAGCTTGTAATGCTGAGCATCCTCAGAGCTTCCGAAGTCAGAAGTGACTGAAATGTAACCAAGAACCAGTGCTAATCCCTTTCTTTCTTACTAATTCATTCTGTGTCCTCTGAGGCAGTTTTTTTTTAAAGCCATCAGAGCCAAGCTCCCAATGCTGTTACCGGTGTTATATTCAGTTTAGAATGGTGACAGTTACTTTACAGATGCAATCACTTAGACTTAGCATGTGTACTGCGTTCCAGTTAAGAGTTCCTAAAACTAACCGACATCACTAGAAAAATGAATATGTTTATTATTAGTTAATTGATTAATATTATTAATTTCACTGAAAGAGCTTTTTTTTTTTTTTTTTTGTTTAAAATAGCAACAATCTCCCTTAGGACATAAAATCATAGAATGGCCTGGGTTGAAAAGAACCGCTATGATCACCTAGTTTCAGCCCCCCTGCCATCTGCAGGATCTCCAACCAGCAGACCAAGCTGCCCAGAGCCACATCCAGCCTGGCCTTGAATGCCTTCAGGGATGGGGCATCCACAACCTCCTTGGGCAACCTGTTCCAGTGCATCACCACCCTCTGTGTGGAAAAAATTGCTCCTAATGTCTACCCAAAACCTCCCCTGTCTCAGTTGAAGACTGTTCCCCCTTGTCCTATCAGTATCCACCCTCGTAAACAGCCATTTCCCTTCCTGTTTATACGCTCCTTTCAAGTACTGGAAGGCCACACTGAAGTCTCTCTGGAGCCTTCTCCAAGCTAAACAAGCCCAGTTCCCTCAATCTTACTTCATAGGAGAGGTGCTCCAGCCCTCTGGTCATCTTAATTGCCCTCCTCTGGACCTGCTCCAAGAGCTCCACATCCTTCCTGTGCTGCGTCCCCAGGCCTGCACGCAGTACTGCTGATGGGGCCTCACAAGAGCTGAGCAGAGGGGGACAGTCACCTCCCTTTCCTGTTGGCCTCCCCTTTTTTATTGCAGCCAGAACACAGTTGGCCTTCTGGGCTGCGTGTGCACACTGTTGGCTCACGTTCAGCTTCTTGTCCACCAGGACCCCCAGGTCCTTTTCTGCAGGGCTGCTCTCGGGGACATCCGTAAGGCATAAGCTAACTGCTAACCTGAGTGCATAGGTGTGTACTGTTACCAAACTGCAGGAGAGAATTCCGTTGCCCTGAACTCAGGTTTGAACAGTCACTGTTTTTTGGAAATTTCATTTCTGGATCAGTTGTGTATGTGCTGTTTTCCCATGGCACACAGCACACACCAACAAGCTTTCCTTTCTGGCAGCAGCATTACAGGCACCAACAGCGCCTGCGTGTAGTGGCTGATGACAGAGGCTTCGCTGTTGATCACAAGAATGGAAATGCATTCTCCTTTTTACCACAAGCTGTTGTTGAACATATCTGTGAGACGTTTGCTATTTGAACTGTGCTCCTTTTTCCCTTAGAAGAATATGAAAAGGAAGGCAGTTGTCACAAAATGTTGTAGATGGACTTTTTAGCAAGGTTCCATAAAGCTCTGCTGGTAATTTGGAGATGAAAACTGTATTTCTTTTGGCTAGGCAAAAAAAAAAAGAAACAAAAAACAAAATAATATATTTAATTTTTTTTTTATTTTTTTTAAGGTAAATAATTTTTTTTTTTTTTTTGCAATGAATAGAGGCTTTTTTTTGAGCAGAGAGAAATACGAAAACCTTTGCAGTTATTTGATGTCATCTCCCTGTTTTATTTTTGGTTTAATTTCCTCTTTATCTGTAATTCATTCATCTTTTTGAGCGAATTTTATCAAGTGCTGAGTTTCTAAATGGAAAGGTATTTCTTTCACTAGGAGTGAAACTATTTTCTACGTTTAACAAGTGTTATTAATTAATGCTTTCCTTCATTTCAAATGCTCTTGCTATTGCTATTTAAATATTAAGAAGTTTCTGTCTCGCTACCATTTTGTATTCATCTTGATTTACGAGAGAATAATTTTTTTAATACCTGTTTAACTAATGAATAGAGAAATGCATCTGTTTTGGAAGAGCGTTAGGTATTTAATATTCATGGTTTGCACTCAGTTAATTGCATTCGGTAACCCCTGTTGCTTTGCCACAGTGGCTTTTTTGGTGTGCTAAGAGAACTCTGATATGAAGGTTGTTTTCTTATACATTGCACATACATAGCATGTTGTTCTGCTTGTCTTTAGTTTCTTTGCGCTCTGTACACTTTGAGAGGTGAGGGAAGACCTTATGCAATTGTAAACATACTGGAGTTCATTAAAATCAGAGGATCTGTATGATTTTACTTAAGATTTAATTACAGAATACTTCCTTCTAAAACGTCAGATCATCCTCAGGTGAAGTCTAGTAGTTGATAATTTGTATTAGTATCTACATATTGCTGGTCCATTTTCTTTTCTTAATTCCTTGCTTGAGCTTGCTGTTGGCTACCCTAAGGAATCTTTTTCTATCTTACTGTATAATTTTTTTTTTTTTTTAAATCCTCCCATTCTTGGGGAATTGATGCCCATCTCCAGCCTAAAGGCTGTGAGATCCATTCTGGTTGTTAGCTTCTGTGCTCTGTGCCCACAATAATTAGTCTTAACTTGAGCTGGGAGAGCAAAGGAAAAGTGTTTGCTCTCAAACATGTACTACTGCCTTCCTGTTGTAGGTTAGGAGTTTTGTGACACTTTGCTCCCCGGCTTCCAGGTGTTACTGTCTGGCAGAACAAATGGACTGGGGCTATCATATTCACCATAAAGCTTACTACGTATGTTCTTTCTATGTTGCCCTTGTGTAAAAAGCTTGCTTGAAAATGTCATTTACTCTCAGTTACTCTGAATTGCTTTTTCAGCTTATGAGTGACTCTCCCCAGCTCTTCACTTTTGTAGCAGGGGGGAAAGCTTTGGGATTGGCAGCAGATCCAGCATGCTGAAGCATTGCTTGCTGTCCTCTTTGCGTTAAAATGAGCTCCCTCTGAGTTTGGGTGCGTTCATGCTGTCAGGAGTCATGTAGATGTAAGTGCTGATGTACAGCTAAGTCTTATTGCATGGTTGCTCAGCAGCTACTTCAGTATTAGTAGCATCTGCAGAGTCACAGGATATACCTTTTCCTACAGTTCTCCTTCTTAAGGGGGAATGCCAGGCCTGTAGCAATGGAGAGTTCTGACAGCACAGCTTGCACCAGGACCTACATATGTGTCTCTTTATGAATAGTTAGTTTAGTGACATTGTTGTAGGGCTGATTATGTTCTGCACCAACTAATTGCATTTAAATGTCCACTTCAGCTTCACTGTCCGAACAAGAAACTACTATAAAACTGCTCTAAAATAAGATCTACTCAATTTTGTTTTTGTATAGGTGGGAAAGACAGCATGTACAATAACATTCTTTAAGCTAAAAATGAGACAAAGTAGTCCACTGTTTGGTGTTTTTTTTTTTTTTTTTTTTTTAAATAAAATAAAAGGACTTGTAGCATTTGTTAGTCAGCAATTCAGTTGTGTAAGTCAGCACAGCTCTGTGACGGCCAACCTGAAGTTATCTGGTTGCTACTCTGGCCACACCTTTCTAAATAAATTATTATCGGTTCGTATTAACCCAGTTTTCCCAGTATGCAGAGGTAGCAGAACTATCCCTTACTATCCTTACTTCCCATCCCAAATCATTTCTATTCTATAAACCAGAAGGCCAGAAGGAGGCTTGTTTGTCTAGTTTCCTTTAAAACAATTAGTAATTGGGATTTAAGTGGATCAGCTCATTTCAGTTACCAATTAATTTGCATCCCTTCTTACCACTCTCTGTGTAGTAAGCCAGAGGTGATTGTTCTGGATTCCTACTGTCTGTATTTATTTTGTCTGAGTTAATATTTCTGCAAGTCTCTCCACAAGCAGTGCAAGGCTCTCTGTTCTCAGGGGATGAATGTATGTTACCACGTGCTGCTATGGCAGAACTGTGGTAACCCCCTCACTGCCAGAATCTACTTTTTGTCACAAGACTTATCCAATTACACAGCTAAAAAGTTCTACTTGGGGATGTTTTCTTAAAAATACATCGTGCCTTATGATTAGCATCTCCAGATTTGTGTTCTCACCCCATATTCAGCCCACCGCGTTTGTTTTGTCTCGATAGATAGTCACGGTTCCGTACCTGGATCGTCTGCCAAAGAAATGTTGGTGAAAGTGCCGTCCTCCTCATCTACGGGTAAATCCATTTTGTTTCCTCCTTTTGAAGCTGTCAGGGAAGCGCATTTAAGCGTGGCAGTTGTCAGCCATTTTCAGTGCACGCAGCTTCACTTGTTAAATCCTTAATGATTTGAGCACAGGTGTTACCTGATCCTGCGGGCAGCTACACGCCGCGCAGTGCCGTATCTCCTCTGGACCTTGAGCTCCTGTCCGGAAGTCGTTAAGCTGGAAGGTTCTACCAGCTTCATCGGATATGTGCTGAGCAAACACTGTAATTGCACCCCTTCTGGGAAAGAGCTGTGCCTTCACCTGAGTCAGGGGAGTGGTGGTGGTGCTTGTGGTTTTTCTCGAGGTGGTTTGCTCGTTTTGTTTTCTTCTTTTGGTAGAAGTCTTAACATTGTGTGATCATAAAATGTTACTTCAGGAACATTGAGAGGGGTTTTGTAGCAGCAAATTTAGCAATATAATCTTTAAATACTCTGGGATTTTACTGACCTGAGCAGTCACACCAAAACCAACCGATCGACGCGCATGAGCGAAAGTACGCGAGCGTTGAGTTTCTGTGAGAGGAGGCAGGAGGCAGAAGGTGAAAATAGATCAAAGGCAACCCAAGCTTTTGGGGCAGTTTGTTTTTGCATCTTAAAAACAAATGACTGTCATTTGAATCTATAAACTAGGAAGTTACCTCGCACTTCTTACCTCTTAGAAATAGCTTTCTTTTGCATGCAATGAATAGCATCGTGGCGATTAATTTAAAAGCATGCATAGCCCTGGTCTTGATTACAGAGAGTATGATGAGCAGTGAAACTGCTCCCTGCTCAGGTTGCATGCCCAGTGTACCTGACTTGGATTTTTTGATCAAAATTTGCATGCAGAAAAAGACCAGGTTTAGTCATTGTCAAATATTTTTTCTTAATTAGGAACCTTTCTGAAGCCTTGCTGAAAATGTAATTTAGTTCTGTGAAGTGTTGCCTAACTTACAGAGATGATGGATGTAGCACTTTCTTCTGGTCCTTCGACTGCTTGTGTGTGTTTTTGCTTTTACTTAAACTTGTAAAATAGGGAAGGTGCTGACAACCACCTTTGGGGATTACTGAAAATCAGGGACGCCTTGCACACTCAGAATAGTGTTGAGTGTTATTGAAGCTTAGTTATGACCCATGCAGAGCACGACCTTCTGGCATCTCTCTAACGTTTTATATTTGTTTATAACGTTTTATGTTCGTAAATTCTGAATGAAGAAGAAAAGTGGAAGGGGAGAGAGGAAAAAGTGAGCAGTGAATGGACTCTTGTGCAGGCAGCTGCTTTGTCCAGTGGTGGTTCAGCTGTGACCTGCTCTTCTCTTGGCCATTGCCAGCAGTAACTGCTTACAATCCCTATTTGCTGTCATGTTGGGATTTGATTGTCTTCCCTCAAGGAGAGGGAATTCTGTATTCTTCTCTTTCCTTCCAGTTATGCAACAGCATGCTTCAGAATCATGTTGATAGCACTCGTAAAGCTAGAAAACATTTTGATTTTTGCCTTTTTCCTTTTTGGTTCCCAGACATGTTACATATGGTTGAAGCGTGTCAACAACTTGGCTTGGAAGGGCATATCCTAAAGACTCACACAATTATATAATTATATATTACATACCTCTGCATTTTGTAAAGTTGTGTGCCCACAGAACTAAGGGTAAGTGTAATTAACTTTCCTTGCCCGTGTCAGTTGGAGCCCCAAATGGGCTTCCTCTGGTAGGAGCAGTTTCCGGGTAGATCATTAGCTAGTGTTAGACAAAAGCTCGTGCAGCAGCATAGCGAATACAGGAGTTGTGCAGCTGTTATTCTGGGTGACAGCCATCAGTAAAAGCGATGCTGAGTTTCATAATAGTTGTATTTCGTAATAGTGGGTAAGAAGGACTCCTTGGGAGAAAGGAGTACGGGGCACATCGATCCCCGCAGGCTGCAGCCTTCGGGCCAGGCGTACTGCTTCGTGCACAACTATTAACAGAGCTGCATGGCTTCCCAGAAGGCCTTTGCTCTTTGTGAGGACCTGGACTTGTGTTAAGTTTGTGGGAGGCCAGCACAGCTTGTCCATGGGGAGTTCTCCTTTGTGGATTTCAATTTGTGTACCAGCAGAGAGGGATGGGCTTTAGCTGAGCGGGCTCCACAGGCACTCTTGTTTCCATCTTGCCCACGAGGCTTTTCATGTTTCAAACATACATCTGTGTTCTATAAATTCAAAGGCACTGCAGAATAATGTCTGTAGCTTGTTTTGTTATGGGAGTGCTGTGGTGAGGAACACTTCCTTCAGTGGGAGCCTGCTGCCTGTGTAATAAGGCCTTTGGGCAGGAGGAGCTGTGCACACGTGGAGTAGGAGTACCCCCTGCTTGCTGTCCTCATGTCTGCCTTGTGAGGGAGAGCAGAAAAGATTTTGTTTTGGAAACATTTCCCAGTGCTTCTGTCTCACGTATTTTTGGAGAGGCAAGAGGGGTCAGAGACAGGAGGTTAGGCAGCTGAGAGACCTCAGTGACCTCATGCTGCAAAGGTGTAATTGTAGAGAGGTGCCTGGTGTTCTAATGCTCTCAGTATCAGCAATAGAATTTTTTTTGTGAAGTGAAAACCACCAAAGCAGTAGGTTTATGTTGGTTTACGGGGGACAGAGAGTGCTCTGGGTCCTTGCTGTAGGTCCTTGCTGTAGCACAGTGTGTGACTGATGTCCTGTCAGGCTGTGCTGCTCTGATCAGGAGTCCACTCTGAAGACGAGATGTGCAAATGCAGATGTGTAAGGTGTAAGCTACAGAGTCTGTTACATACACTGATAGGGGATTCTGAAAGAGAATAACTGTGTTTTGAATCCTGCTTGTGGTCAGAACCTTTGAAAACACTGCGTTTGTTTCCAGTGAGACAATGTCTAAATATAAAGAGGAGTAGAATCCACCTCTAACTGTGCAGTTCTGTAACACAGATAAATAAATTTGCCAGTACTTTGTGGCATACAACAAAATGCTTGAATTTATTTTTCGTACACTAAACATTCGGAAAAGCATGCACTTCATCAGTTACACACAGTGTATAAAACACAGCATCCTAAAAATATGGGCCTTGTTAGGAAGTGATGGCTGCCAGCGTGTCTCTGTATTAATGAACTTAGAAGGGAACTGCTGCACGTGTTTAGTGCATGCTAATAAAGCAGTGATAGTGCTAGTACATTCACAGCATGCTCAGAGCTGGCCTGACTGACACTGCATGATAGTAACCTACTTGAGGAACAACAGTTTGCTGAGGTGGTGACAGAAGTATATGAAATGTGTCATTGGCAGATTTAACCAGAACGCTGAGGTGTATCAGTACTTGTCAGCAAGTCTCCTAGGTGTATGTACTCTTCCCTCTTGCCTCAACACTTCCCCAGTTTAAGATGCTTACAAGCTCTGTTGTGGCAGTCTTGCAAATGTTGAGATGAGCTCTGAGGGCATGTTATGTAAATGAATGTCAGCATTTGTGAACGCTGCTTCTGAAGTTGCACTGACAATTGGCCACCTGGAAACCACCCATGACAACTGCCCACTTGCTCTCATGCCCACTCCCTTGCTACGTTTAATTCTGATAAATGTGTACATACTGTTTTCTGCCTCCGTGATTATTTTTAAGTGGGATCTGAACCTCTGCTCTGTGAAAATGAGTGGCTTGTTCATAACATCGGGTATGTATGTCTTGAAATAGACCCACTTTGTTTCACACTTGTCCATTTCACTCTCAGATTGCCTGCCATACATCTGTCTGGACATGGAGAACATTTGTCCGCTAAATTAGAAGAAAAACAAAAAACGTACTGCTTCAGAGTGCTTCACATGATGCTCCTCGAAGTTAAATTCTATTGTGATTCCTGTAAAACTGGACAGGGACTGGGCAGACTACCTGTATTTTACTAGCGTGTCAATTGTAGCAGTGTGCTCCATTTCCCACTCCTTTCATTTGATGTGCCTTTTCTTAATTCTTACCTAGGTGACTTGGTGTAAGTAACGTGAGGCAGAGCAGCGTTTTCCATTGGATGCTGGAATTGACTAAGAATCCTCAGTCTGCCCTTCTCTTCGAATGCAAACTTGCTCTCCTTCACTCCATTCAGTTGTAATTCTGGAGGTGGAACTAATTCAGCAACAGAGTTGGCTCAGGTAATTTCTACATATCTCAAGATTTTTGGCTTTGTTCGTTAAAGTTACTAGGAAATTACTGGTTAACTTGCTGGAGTATGCCAGTTTAGAAACTAACAAGCGTTCTTTCTTTATCACTTGGGCCATACTGAATGCTTCTTCTGACTCTTGGTAACATGCAGAAAATTGGGCAGTGCATAACACTGCTCCAGAATGTCGGTTCCTTATGCTTTTATTGGTGTTCTCTGATATGGCTGGCCATTACCGTCCTTCTAAACTGAACTAGGCCACTCAGATTATAAGAACTTTTCCCTCTTCTTGGTCCTTCTGGGAGCCCTTCAGGTATGTAACCAGCTAGCCAATGTTCTTCTTCCCTTTCACACTGCGATTAAATGGAAAATATTTCAGATTTTAAATATTCAGTCATTAACACAGGATTCACTGGGGAAGATCCCATCAGTTTATGAATTCGATTGTTGGTTAATCAACAATGTAATAATTGATTTTACTTTGCAAACAAATTGCAAAAATGTGTGGATCTTGATATGGAAATTTCCCTTTGTGATTATTCAGGTGCTGAGGTTGCTAGTTTGAGCACTTAGGCAGTCGAGCTCTAGCAACACATTTCAGTGCTGGCTTCAGAACACTGCTAGCTTCAGGAATACAATAAGCTGGCTTTCACTGCACCATGTGCTGCTGCAGCAAGACAGATACTGGTACACTGTCCAATAGTGAGTTCGCCAACAGGCTCTTCACTATCTTTTCTCTCTCTTCCCTATTATGGCACTTGGAGGGAAAAGATAAGGGACTTGAAAGTATTTTCCCATTTCAATCTAATTGTGGTCTCCTTATTGCCTGAATTCTGTCTGCCTTGGGCTTGATCAGCCTTACTGCAAGTACCCTGAGTGGGACGCCTGCTGTTCCACATGGCCCTTCTTTAAAAGCCTGCAATAACATCTTACATCGGTCTTGCTGACTTTGTGCACCAAGGGAGTTTTGGCAATTGTCAGTTTTTCTGCTGCTGTCTGCCTCCTGGTCTGTCACATCCCTGATGCCCTTGCCAAGGCCAGTAAACAGGCTGCCACACTTTGCCTACTGAGCTGCCAGTGAGCTGCAGAGTAGGATGTCAGTCATTCAGCAGTCAGATGCTAGAAGTGAGAATGAGAAGGACAAATTCTTTTGTGTGTATATAAACATTTTTTCAAAGGCCCGTTCCTTTACTAATGTTATTGATGTTCTCATAGTGATGCCTCACTTGAAGGTCTCACATTTCCTGTTGTTGCGTATCTTGTCTTTAAAACTGTGAGATTATTTAATGCTCTTTGCAGAAATCCCCTTGGAATGTAATCATGTGACGTGGTTGCTGGGCCATTTTTGTCTTGCTGGCTTTTGAATGCTGTCTGTTTACACTGCAGCTATGCTGGATTTTCTTTATACAAGTATTTTAGAAGGTTACTGCTGATGATATGTGTGGCTGAAGCTAGTCTGGATAGATTAATTATTTAACGTGACTAATGCTTTTAATGGTCTTGATGATCAATAACACTTACAATAATACTGTAGCAAATAGCAAAAAAAGAAAAAAAAAAAAATCACAGCTGAAAGAGAGCTCATGCATGGAAAAAAAAAAAAAAAAGCCCAAAACAAAACAGTTTTTAAAACAGGAAGAAATTTCTGGACCCATTCTATCTTCTATAAAACGGGCCGTTTCCCAGTGACTATTAGTAGAGTTGTGCCCAGTGTCATTCAGTAGCATTGCCAGATGTTGGTGTTTCCTTAAAAAAGACATTTTTCTTTAAAAAAAAAAAAAAATGAAGTAAAATAAAAATAAACAATATAAACTTGTGATTAGGATCAAAACTTAACAGGAAACAGACTTGGGAGCCCTGGAAGAAAGTGAACATGTATGAGAAGTATCAGACAGTACAAGGGAAAGTTCTGTTATTTTAAGCCTTGTTCTGTAAGTCACAATGCTTAAATGGATGAGGACTTACTTTGTTTCTGTACCTCACTGTTAGAAAGCACTTGATTGACTTTTATTTGACTTGAGGCTGTGGGGGCAGTTGTTACCAAGTGTTGACTTATATGATTTTGGGGGGCTTCTATTGTGAGCTTTCCTGGGTGGAGATCAGGTCATATTAGAGTGAAGGATTCCAGTCTTGATTTTGGAAAGCTGGAAGGAGGAGGTACTTATGTATGAACAAACTCAATTTCAAAGCCAACTAAACAATAGTGATAGGGTTGCCAAACCCAGAGACTAAAACATGCTATTCTTCAGTGGTTTTGCTTCAAAAAATAAAAAATATCGGGACTGTTCTATTTTCTTTTGCATTCTTCAGCTATTAGCATGAGTGCTCCTAAGATCTCTTCAGACCTAAGCAAGTCTTTCTCTGTAGAGAGTCAAAGCTAAGATACTATGAAGGTACATCAGTTCATGATTGGAAGAAATGCACCATTATATTAATGCAGTCCACGATACAATTCTAAGAGTTGTAATGAAGTGTCATTTATTAAAAGCCAGCTGCAAGGCCCATGCAATAGTAACTATATGTTGTATGTGAATGTCTTCCTATGGAAAAAAAAAAATCACCAGAAGCCAATAGATGAAAAAATTGCTCTGAGGTATTGTGTATCTGGTGATGGAATTACCTGCAGTGCCACCAGGTTTAAAAAAAAAAAAATAAAATAAAATAAAAGTTGAGCAGATGAAGCAGAGCAACACAAAAGCCTTGCTTGTTCTGTGCCCCAGCTGAAGTTTGCGTGCAAGATGGGATGGATCTGAAAGCTGTTCTCTCCCAGTCAAAGGCCAGGGAAAATGGCAACAATACATCTTTTAGCTTCTGGTGGTGTTGGGTTTCCTCTTTTTCACTTGAGGAGATGTGGTTTTAGCCACTGAAAGGTATCAAGCCCTCCATACGGTTTCACAGCATCCGACACAGAAGGACTTTGTACTTAGCCAGACACAAGACAGCTCTAACCACCCCTGCTTTGTGTGTCTTATGGAAGGATAGCGTGTCTTATGGAAGAATATTCCTATAGATCAAAGCAAACCAGTAACATCCATTTCTCTCTTTCGTGCCGCGTTCTATTCCACGCTGTACTGTTCTGTATCCCAGTTCCACGCTTACCCCTACCCGTGCTTCTGCTTTGTCCCTATTTCTGTGTACCTTTACCTTTTCTTTCCTTCTCAGCCCTCTTTACCTGACCCTGTTTCTGTCATCAGTCACTTAGTGCAAGTCCTGACTCCTGCCGAGTTCTGGCAGACACAGTGTAGTAGTCTGCTTCCCACAGGGGCAAATTATGATCATTTGATGGGCAGTAGCTCACCTTTGTGCTGTGGTTCACAGCTCCCTGCTCTTGATCATAAATACAAGGCAGGAGTCTGGTACTTACTCCTGGGGGATGGATGGGGGAGTTTAGCTGTATATTTAGGGAAATTACTCTGAACTTAGCATGAAATGTCGCCTTTGCAGTGGATGGTAAAGAATTGCTTTATAATTATATTTTGAGTTTTGTCCTTTAATACTGAATGCAGTAACTTTAGAGGTGGCATCCAGCAGAACAATTTTAGACAGAAGGTGAAGACAGAGTCTGCGTGTGTAAGAAATTAATGAATAAACAACTTTCTTATGCTCTGTGGATTCTTTTTAGGGAAGGTTTATTAGCTCTCTACATCCAGCCCATGTATGAAGAGCCAGAATTTGCAATGCCTACTCAATTTTTTCTTTGACAAGCCCTGCAGAGTTGTGCAAAAACTAAGCAGCCTCTCAAAAGGCGGCTCTAACAGCGCTTTTTTCTCATTAGTCAGATCAAACTGTCTGTGTTTTGCCTGAGAAAGAGAAAAAGAAACACATTTTTTCTCTTTGCTTTTTCCCAGAAAGTCTCCCTTATCTTTGACTTTTCCAGTAGATTTCAGTCCCTTTCCTTGTATTTGTTCCTGGTGGAATGGTACTCCCACAGCTCAGCAGTGTTCTGAATCCGCAGCTAGTCCCCACTGATGACTTTGATGTTCATTTATGCTAATTATTTATGCTCTGTATATTGTATGCTGTGCCTGCGTATGGAAACCCCATCTCTACCAACATTTTATCTGTTTGGATGAGAGTGCTGCCTATATGTTTTCTGAAGTCCGTTGCATTGTGTGCAAATTGTCCTCTCCGTGAGGGTAGGGAAGATGTTGCCAGGTAATTTTGTAACATCCAAAAGTGTCTAAAAGTGTGCTCACTGTCTTTCTAGTAGAGGCTGATTCCACATACTGCTGTACTGTATGCAATTATAGAATTACAGAATATCCTGAGTTGGAAGGGACCCATAAGGATCACTTCCATCTTCAGCTTCATGGCAAACCTGACGTGCATTATTTTTTTTCCTCTTTGATACTTTCTAGATAAGAATTTAATTCATTGATCACCGGTGCTACTGTGACATCTAATCTGATTTATTATAGTTCATCTTTCTATCATCATTCAGATGGTTTTTTACACCTTATATAAGCTGTACTTGTTTACATTTAGGAATAAATAGTAGTCACGATTTCCATATTGTTATGTTATGCTACTTACTGTTTTCTTCTTACAACTGCCTACAACTTTATGAGGGTTATTAAAGTGGTTCTAGGTAATGTAAAAAAGCAAACCAGAATGCTCTTTCACCTTATGCTTCAACTATACTACATACAGTTGTACTTTGATGGATTAGGACAAAATGATGTGCATGGTTGGTAAGATCTTTTGCAAGATGGACCTTACATAGGAATCAGCTAAAGGATGCAGTATCTTTCTGCCAGACTTCACCCTTGCAGGAGCAGAGATTTTCCTGCTGTATTCTAACTTAACTAAAGAGTATTGATGTCTGATCCAAAGGAGGGCAGTGTTTTCATTTTTTTTTAATAAGGGAAGTTCATTTGGACAAGAAGTCTGATAGGGTGAGTCTTCTTACTTTGTAATTTCTATTTTTGATCAATTGAAGTTGCTCTACCAGTCATTGCTTGGGTCAGCAGAGATCATGGCACAGCTGCCCAG